CTCCGTGGCTTCTATGCCATTGCCGTGTATCAAACATGCTTAGTGTTGGCGCTGCCATTCCTACTGGAGGCAATTGGTCAAGCTGCCAGGAGACAAACCCCGGAGCCGCACACTAATCGAGCATATCACCATCAAATCGGAGAAAGGGTGACCAACACCAGGGATCAAGCAAATCTTATTGTCCTAAATGGGCCAGAAAACATGCAAATCAAGTCGTTCCTTCTGACGGGACAAGGATGTCCAGCTCTGCTTCTCGGCGATGAAGTCAGAGCGCTCTCTAACGTCGAGGTGATCCCAACCGTGATTGCAAAAATCTTTGAGGGTAATTATGCAACCACATCTGATCATATTCTTCCTATGCCCGAGAGATTGGTCGCTCTTGTCAAAGAGCTGGCAAAGCTCACTGGACGCTGAGATCTGGTGACGGAGGAAGTGGGTTCACGCTTCATTTCCTCTGAGCATTGAACTGCATGGTCCAATAGTCAATAGCCTAGCATAGCGGGCTCATCTTGTTTGCATACACGGGGACCTAGCGATTCAGCGAAAGATAATATTATCTCGTTGAATTTAGGAAACGATCTCTGTTGTGAGATCCTTTGGCCAGAAGGGTGCGTCTACCTCGTTCCCTCTAGTTCCGACGTTGTATTTAAACGTAACGTCATTGTGTTGGAACTTGATGATCGGCTTTACAGCTCTTACCGTTGCACCGATGGCTTTACTCTCACGGTTTTCAAAAAATTCCGGTCTCAATAATTTGTCCGAACTATTTTCTTTGATCATGCCCAAGAACCGCGGAATCGTGTAGAGCATATTGTGGTGCGATCTAGTAGTTGACATTGCGTTAGGAGTCCAATTCGCAGTAGCAGCAAGGAAGGATAGGTATCATACCGGAAAACCTGGCGCCCATTTCTCGTCCAAAGATCCTGCCAGACAGCCTCTGGATACTGGCCAACACTGTTCGCAAGCCAAGTGTTGTAGTAGTTAAGTGCAAGGTCGACCTTGTAGGAGCCTCCCACGTCCGCACGGCGCATCAAAGCACATAAAATACCACAGACCCCAGCGATTCCAGTCATATAGTCGCTATTTGGGAAAACGGGTGTCACCGCTTCACCGTTTTCGAGGCCCATAGCCTTTCCAAAGCCATGGGAGATACCGACACAAGCATCGCTGATTTGTTGCCAGCCTGATCGATATGTCCACGGTCCATTCCAGCCGTAACAATTCTCGCGCGCGGAGATGATACCGCGCTCGCGATCTTTACACAGATCAATGATATCCTGCTGGCCAAAGCCATATTTGTCTAAAACACCTGGTCGGTATCCCTGAACGACGACATCGGCGTCTAAGATGAGCTCCTTCAACTTTTCCCTGCCGTCCTCGGTCTTGAGATCAATACTGGCATTCCATTTGCCCCAATTTAAGTCAAGATGTAGTGAACTGTAGTCACAGATCTTCGAAGAGGTGATTCGCATGACGGATGCACCTAGCTCCGCGAGACCACGCGTCACAGCTGGCGCTGCAATGACTCTGGTAAGGTCGACAACCTTGAGTCCAGCAAGCGGCCTCTGAGGAGATGTCTGTGGGGTGGACGGCCACCAGGTCGGGAATTGCGAGGAGTTCTTGACAGGGTGAATCTCAAATAAGCCCACGTGGGCATTCGCTTTGCCATGCTCAGAGGCTCGAAAGGAGTCCGGTGACTCGCAAATCACGCCTGCTTGCTTGTAGACATCTGAAGCAAGTCTTTGCATCTCCGAACTCTCGATTTGTGAGAGCTTCTCAAAGAAGGGCTCCCACGCGTCTTCCCAAGACTTTGCATCACGCTCATGTGGAAGTCCGATAGAGTCGAGGGTCGGCTCAGGATTCATGCTTCCATGCAAGTGAAAGTACTTGCCATCTTTGGTTCGATAGATGTTAGTGGCATTGACACGATGAAGGGAGGAAGCATGTTTATGGCAGTCATAGTCTTTTATGTACTTGTGCATTTTGCTGGCTCCCACTAGGTCTGCGCCGATCTCGTCGTCGGTGTCGGGGTTCACCTTCCACAACAGTGTGGAAGCAAAAAATAGTTGAGCATGATCACTGTTGATGGTCGCAGGCGAGGCATCTGTGTTGTATTTGCGTTTCAACAACGCGGCGATGAGTGATGCTTCTAGAGCCTTGAGTGCAGCTGCTGACTCGGCGAATCGCCAATTGATGGGAATACTGGGAGAGTCTGACCCAACAAATCGTACTAATTCTCCAAAGTCAAGTGCTTCTTGAGGTAGATCTTTCGCGATCAGAGGGTTTCTGAGGATGCCTTCTTTGTATACTCTCTGAGCTTCCGATGGCACACTGTAGGAGTTAGGATATTCGGCGACCGCCATCGTATCCTCGGCCTGGATACTCCCCATAATGACTTTTGTTGTAGTAAGAGAGGTCAAACAAGTGGTCACGCCGCGTACTTAAGGGCTTTCCAAGCTCTGCGCTCGACCCAAAGAAGGTCAATGGTTGATGCTGTCTCTATTGACTGCTTCAAAGCATCAGATGAAAATGTTTCCTCGCCTTCCTTGTCAGTTGTTGAATTTGGACCGAGCTTAAACTCGGCATTCAAAAGCGGGCGCAGATGAGGAGAATAGTAGCGGCCGCTGGTGATCCCGAGTCATAAAAGACGAATCAGAACACTGTAGCTTGGTAGCCGGTGATCGACCCAAACTCTGACTAAACCATGATGACAACCATGCGTTTTGACCGAGGTTCAAAGACTTCCGGCAGGGTTTTGACTTCACTGACAGCTTACGTGGATAAAACAATGTAATAGGAGACCCCGGCGTGACATCTTTTTCTCAGATTTGCATAATCCAAATTGAAGAGTCTTCGAAGTCAGAACACTCAACATGGGCGACGCAGGAACTAGATGGGCTCGGATGGGCACAAGGCCAGTCCTAGTCGCCAATTGTTCGGGAGCCAGAGGAGATCCTGGCTACCAGATGCGTCGGCAGGCAACCGAAGGTGATGTTGACTTCATCACTGGCGATTATTTGGCCGAAATGAATCTTGCGGAAAATGCAGTGAAGATGAGCGAAGGTAAACATGACGGATGGGAACCCACAGCCTGGGATGGCCTAGAGCAGACACTCGACGTCCTAGATCAGAAGAGAATCAAGGTCATCATAAATGGTGGATCCTTGAATCCTAGTGGACTTGCACGCAAATGCCAGGAGCTGATAAAAGAGAAAGGCTACAACCTCAAAGTAGCCTATGTGTATGGCGACGACCTATTGAGTGAAGTCAGAAGCGATCTTGAAAAGACTGGGGCTCTGCCAAAGCATCTTGACTCCGAAAATGACAAGGTCTCTCTCTCTGCGAATGCCACGGCCTTGCTTGACACTCGTGGGAAACCGATAGTGTCAGCGAATGCGTACCTAGGCGCCCGTGCAATTGTCAAGGCCCTCGAACTTGGTGCAGACATTATCATTTGCGGACGAGTGGCCGATGCTTCTCCTGTAATTGGGGCCGCATGGTACTGGCATCAGTGGAGCGACACTGACTATGATCAACTGGCTGGAGCTCTCATTGCTGGGCATCTTATTGAGTGTTCAGCCTATGTGACTGGTTCAAACTTTTCTGGGTTTGATGAGTATCCGCTGGAAACATTCCTTGACCTGCCTTTTGGTATCGCGGAGATCTCTGAGGATGGGACATCCGTGATCACTAAACACGAAAATACAAAAGGATTGGTCAATGCAGACAATGTGAAATGCCAGTTTCTGTACGAGCTGCAAGGTAGCACATACCTCAACTCTGATGTGACTGCCCATGTGGAAGACATACGAATCGAAGAGATCAGTAAAGATCGTGTTCGCCTTTCCAACGTCAAAGGGTCGCCACCACCCCCTACGACCAAACTGGCCATTTTCTACCAGGGCGGATTCGAGAGTCAGTTACTACTCAACGCCACCGGATACGCGACAGCTAAGAAGTGGGAGTTGATGGAGATGCAGTTTCGGTATTTCTTGGAGAAGAAAGGGCTCTTGGACAAGTTCCAGCTTTTCGACTTCCAGGTGCTGGGAACTCCAGCATCAAACCCGCAAACCCAATTCAGCAGCACGACCTATGGCCGAGTACTCGCACAGGCGGATTCCGAAGCATTGCTGTATGCATTACTACAAACCTTTTCGGAGTTTGCTATGCAGCACTTCTCAGGCTTTCATTTATCTTTGGACACAAGAACCGCACTTCCGCGTCCATATCTAGCATTTTATCCGGCATTGTACCCTCAGGGCTCGCTAAGTGAGGGCGCAGCGATTCTGGATATGGAAGGGAAAGTAATTCAAACTGGCGAAGCAGGGCATCCACCCCAATATCAGAAGCTGAGCCAACGAGACAACTATGAAACGAAGCAACCTGTAGACATTTCTAGCTTTGGACCAACAACAGAAGCACGGCTAGGAGACGTCGTCCTTGCAAGGTCAGGCGACAAAGGTGCAAACATCAATATTGGCTTGTTTGTTCGAAAATCTCAGCATTATCCCTGGTTGCAAACCTTCATGACTCGTGCGCGGATGCAGGCTTTGATGGGCGACGACTGGAGAGATGACTATTATATTGAGCGAATGGAATTTCAGAACTTGTTGGCAGTCCATTTTGTCATTTATGGTCCCTTGGGCAGGGGGGTGAGCAGTTGCAGATTACTAGATGCGTTGGGCAAAGGATTTGCTGATTATATTCGGGATAAGGTGGTGGATATTCCCAGAAAATTTCTAGAAGAGAGAGAAGCGGCTAAGCTGTAGAGGATGCTGTGCTGGACGAGATTCGTGTTACACACCTTCGATGGTATTGCAAAATCAAACACAGTGACACCCTGGTACTCTTTGTTGGCTATAGTAAGGGTATAATCCTCGTATGACCTGGTCAGCGTGCGAAATGCAGGCTCGTAATGTTGAAAAGTACAGAAACATATTCTCCGTACACGAGATAGCAATCTATATTTACCCCCAGCCATCGTATTGAATCAACACAATCTATGGGTGAGCGTCAAATACCTTTTGTCCCCGGTACCAAGTTTGCTGTACCTTGGCATTCAACAAGTTCTCGGGTTCCCAATCCCCATCGAGTACAACCAAGTCTGCCGACATACCTTCCGCAAGGCTGCCGGTCCAGGTTTCGGCAAATCTAGAAAAGGCTGCATTTATTGTTGCTGCCTTGACAGCAGTGGCCATAGGAACGGCAAACTCCGGGTTAGTTCGATCCGGTAAGGAGGGATTGATAGTCGATCGTCTTGTCGTGGCATGGTAGAGATTGGGCAGAGGAGGATGAGCAGCCGTAGGAACGTCAGTCCCGAATGCCAGACGAGCCCCTGACTCATGGAATTCCCGATATGCAAATGCTCGCTTGCACCGATGTTCTCCTATCATATCTGGCCAAGCTGCCATCAAAACAGGATCTGAATGCACCGGTTGCACTGAAGCAATAATGCCCAACTGGCCCAGCCTTTTCGCGCTTTCTTCGGAAGCAAGTTCCAAATGTTCGATACGGTGTCGCCGTGTTGGATTGCCCAAGCTAGCGTAAGCATCAATGATCTGGCTAATGGCTTTATCACCGATAGCATGCACAGCACATTGTAGACCTGCGGCGTCTGCGAGTTGGACGACCTTTTTCAACTTCTCTGCAGACCAAATGGGTTCTGTGGGATCGGATTGGCCTCCATATGGCTGGCTCAGGGCAGCAGTACATCCATCAACAGTGCCGTCCACCATGATCTTGATCCCGTTGATACAGAACCTGGGTGATGTTGAAGGGTGGTACTGCTTATGCATCGCGATTGCTTCGTCCAGGCGGCGCTGGATGTCCTCGTCGTTGTCGGAATACGAGATCATCCAATGCGCTGCAATATGCAGAGGCATCTCATTGTGCTCTCTATATTTTCGGAGGCCTTCCCACTGTGCCTTGTCCATCGCCATATCAACGACACCAGTACATCCAGCTTCACTGTACGTTTCAACGGCTCGTTGGAGAGCCACACGCTTATCATCTTCATTCAAGTTCTGTACGAGGAAGGGAATGACGATACCATGATATGCACTCTCCATGAGCAATCCACTGGCAGCCCCTTTCTCATCTCTGCAGATTGTCCCTCCTGGAGGGTTTTCCATTGATGCCACATTCAACTCCAGGAGAGCAGCGGTGTTGCACCACACCGAGTGTTGGTCCATGGCCTCGATGTAGATTGGTCGTGGGTCGATATCGTCCAGCATCGATGCCAAAGCCTTTCCATCCGTAGTCCCTTGGATCCAGCCTTTGACTGAGATCCGAATGGCAGATGGATTTGACTGCGCGTATTCCGCGATCTTCGAACGGACATCTGCAAACGATTTGCATGTTACGATGTTGAGTTTCCCTAATCCCAGTCCGAATGCTAGAAGGTGAACATGGCTATCGATGAAACCTGGAGTTATTATCTTGTCGTTCAGATCAATTTCGCTTGCCCCTTGAGCTCTGGCCTGAGTAAGAGCATCATCCTCGCCACTACCAATTTTCCGAATCACTCCCTGTGACATCAGGATGTAGCCACGATGCAGTTCCTCACACCCCTGCGACGAAGTGAAGATCCGAGCATTCTTGAGAATTGTGGTCTCCATCTTGAAGTGGGTGGCCTAGATGAGATCCGTGTCCAAGCAGCTGTGAGCCAGCCCCAACCAGCCTGTAAAAGTTCTGAAATGTCCCGCCAATGCCGGTCTGAAGTTATGTGTATCATTCACTCTGAGCCTGGGAGAACTTTTCGTATTTTCAACACCTTGGCTTTTACCCTGCGAGCTTACATATCATCCATCACCAGCGACCGGAAAAGAAGGAGTCTCATCGCTGGTGGAGCTGCGTGCAGGTGCCCCAGCAATCTGCGGAATTTGACGCAACTGGTTGAACATCGGGATGAATCGGCGGGGCTCAGATCGTGCGAGTGGGGGCAATGCGCAGGGAGAAGAGCTTAAAACCTACGATTTTTTGCCTCCCCAAGTACTTCAAGTTATCTCATTGCCGTTGGCAACTTTGATATCTTTATTATTCATAGCAACTACACAGTAACAAAGTCCGGGTTAGGTGACACGATAGGGAGAAAGGACCGGATCTTTATCAATTTCAGCTCTCTGTCTTTCTAGGCTACACTGGTAGACGCTGCCATTCCCTCATCAGGCTGATGGCGAGCGTAGTGGCTGTACTTGATGGCAGTTTTGATACGAAAGTGCTTCCCCCATTTAAGAAAAATAAGGCTTCCCAACATAATGACCGCATCGATAACAGCGACCGTTATGAAGACATTAGAGAGTCCTACACCCTTAATCCAAGGAGTCAGAGCAAAAACAAAGATTGTTGGAAAGAGATTCTTGACAAAAGTGACTGCAACCAGACAGTCGGCGATGATCTAGAATTTCGCGTGTCAGAATATTCTCTCCAAATAGGAAAAATAATAAGACAGAATAGCAACTTACCAAACCATATGCATCGGCCAGATAAGTGTACGACATGCTGACAACGGCAGTAGCACCGAAACCTGTCAGTCCCGTGCCCACCGCAATTACTTCCCATGCAAGTCCTTTGTCCATTGCAATACCAGTTATCAAGACTCCAGAAACCAAAAACGGTATTGACGCCAGAATGAGGTACAGGCGCATCTCCGGCTCGTAGATACCCTTGTTTGACTTGGATAGCCGGATAATGGTCCAGTCACTCAGAGGTCCACATATCAGAGCTCCGAGCAAGATACCAATGAATCCTGGCAGTCCCATCAAGCCAAGTTGTGAGGCGTTAAAACTGTACGGAGGAAGCGTAATATAGACTGAGAGAGCTGTGACCGATATGATGGATGCGGATGTCATCGCACCCTGCAGGAGTGCCATGTAGAAGACGGCAGGAATAGAGGTCAACACCTGAGCAGGCTGGTAGCAATGTTTGAGGAAGTATCTGAAAGGGATCGGGGAGGTTGACCACAGGCTAAGTTTTTGGTAGTATGACTTCCGTCGAGGTCCGGTCGTGTCCAGATCGGTGATGATGGAATTTGCTCCACGACTTTGCACAGTGTCAAGTAATACAGGCTGTTTCTGGTCTGACTCCTGAAAGTCCAGTCCTTTCGTCGAGGGGTCAACCTGATCCCTGGAGTCTGTGTTCTGGACGCCGTCTATGGTGGCGCGATCGTATCGGGTTTCCTCGTAAAAAAATGTGAATGCGAGCAACAAGATGCCTAGTAGTATGGCAATCCACCACCATACCCAACGCCAACCCTCAGAAACAGTAACGTAGCCTGCTGCAAGAGGGGCCAGAGATGCGCCGACGTTGAGCATCCAGACATAGAAACTGTTCATGCGACCTCGTTGGTGTACAAAGAAAATGTCGACGATGGTCATCTGAACCATGACTTCGCATAAGGCTCCGACGAAGTTGCTGATGAGGTTGACAAGCATCAGGTCGGCAACATTGTGGATTCTGGCAGACCATACGCTCATGCCCACTTGAACCAAGAGACTGAGGATGTAAACGGGGCGTCGGCCAAACTTCAAGGCAAACGGAATAAGGGCTAGACCACCAATACAGAGAGTACCGCAGCCAACAGCGTAGCTGTCGTTGAGGATAGCATAGCTAAACCCGAGTTCCAAGTTCATTGGGGTCCATGTCACAGTTGCAGAATTTAGTCTGAAGAGAATATTACTGTCAGGGGCCTTTGGTGCTATTTCAGAGAGGGGGATGATAGAAGACACCTACAGTGCGAAGACGAGCAGGGCATAGAACGAGACCAGCACAAGGTTCAGATATTTCTGCCATGACGGCCAGTTCTGTCAACGGTCAATATGACAAACGGTGATGTGATATCGGAAGCAATCCAAGCTTACCAGAGGGTCATTAGGATCTGAGGATGGTTTTGGCTGTAGAATGATTTCTCCTTTGGTTGATCGATGGAAGTCTGAAGCCGACGGTCAGCTCAGAGCACGCCAGGACCCTGGTGTTCAAACGTGATACTTGCCTTCGATGCTGATAGTTCCAGGTGGCCATGCCGGATTGACGCTCTGGGTGGCTGTAGTCTCGGCCATGTTGTTTATTCTTGAGGTGGTGATCAAGTTGACGAGAGAAGCACTCAAGAGTACGAGATCTGAGAGAGCGATTCAATCATTTATACATTTACATTCAAGGCATATCATATACTTCATCCTCATCGGCATATCCATGTCTCGTTGATTTCGGAGTGGAGAAGTCTATCTATCATGGATCGAATTGCTGGGCTTTGTTAGGGCTAAGCAACCGAAATCCAACCACGGACAGGGCCTGAGGAGACCTAGAACCACATTTGGCATTGGTCTCATGCGCAATGTGTCGCCATTGGTGTAACAGGGCGGGGGAGGGGACGATAAGGGCTCGCGAACAAGCCAAGCTCAGTTGTCAGACCGAGATCTCTCAAGTGCCACGCACGCTCCACGTCCCTGAGTTGGAGACAAGACCTTTCTCACTCTTTGCGAAACATCAAGCTTAGGAGTGACAGTTGCAACTTCACATCCAAAACAATTGCGTACAAGAAAATATCGGCACTTCGCAACGGAATTATACTCTCTGAGATACTGGCCACTGCATGGGCCCCACTAACAAGACGTTGACCATGTGATGGATGGGGCTGAATTGGCCATAAAAAAATATCGCAGTCCCCGTCGTCGCCCTGCCCATCTGCGGACGAAAACAGGCTGCCTTCCTTGTAGGACACTCGTGCTTATGATAACCATTTCTGACTAGGTATTTAGGTAGGAAGCACAAGCGAAAATGCGATGAGCTCAAGCCAATCTGTCATAATTGCTCCGTCTCGAGAAAATCGATCTGCACCTGGCCTATAACCAAGGCCAATGACGACAAGGCAGATGCTGCGGATTCAGAATGTACAACACTCAGCGAAGACGAACTGGACAGCAGTCTAGGAGCAGTCGTGCCGTGGAATATGCGACAGACTTCGGATTCACCGAGCCGAACGATCGAAGATACTCCTGTAGTGATCCTTGAGGACGTTCCTACTAAATTGGGATTCCATGGACTTGGATCTTATGGCATCAATAGCTGTCGCAACAGTACAGATTCTGTTTTGTTTGATTTCATGCGCCATGTCTTTATTCCACAGCTCATACGACCAGCAAGCGATCAACCGAATTTGCAATCGTTGATGCGAGACTGTATACAACTTGGTCTACGTCAGCCGTTCTTTCTGAGTGCATTATTAGCTTGTTCAGGCGCCGAAATGCGGGAGAATGAGCGCGTGTATCGCCCACTCGCGGAAATGTACTATGCAGCAGCAGTTACTGGCCTTCGCAATTTTCTAGTCAACGAATTTTCTGAGGATACCGAGGTCACTGCTTTGCGTACAACAATTTTTCTTTTGATATACGAGGTAAGTCGGCCTTCATGCTCAGCAGACTATCGTTTACATCACCTTGATCAGAATTAACGGTTATGGTCAGCGAACTCGTACACATTTCTCCCCAGATCTAGAGACTCATTTACAGGGAGCGGCCGCATTGCTCCGAGCCCTGATCGTCAATGACACATTGCGCCTTTCATTGCGCGGACAAGATGACATTAAAAGGTCACTTCTCGAATCGTTCATTTTCCATGCAGCGACCAGCATTCCGTTTCAAGCAGGCGTTCGTCAATCCAAGACTATCGATGAAGCATTTGCACTGGCTCAGAATTGCCTGGAAATACAGACACTGAACGAATCGTGTCTCCAGCGGTCCTCGCCCGTTCTCGGAGCGCCTCCAGAATTGTTCAGACTTGTTCGTCAAGTCGGGCTTTTGTACCAATCGTCCCAACAAGGGCCTGTTGATCTGGTTGAATGCTACCAACTTGAGAGGGAACTGATGAGATGGGATTGCAGTAGAATCCAAGACATCTGCTCATCAGTCTCAATTGAGGATGGTCACACACGGAACAACCTCGGGAGCTCGTGTTCAGGCAGAGGTCATGAGGATGTGCTTCTTTTGGGACCTCGAATCTATCATCTCGCATCTCGAATCCTGATCAGAGAGGTTATCAACACACAAAGAGGCAAGCTTGAATGCTCCGCTGATGATCTGGTCTCAGAGGCACTGCATCTTATCGATCGTTTACAACCTTCGTTGGATTATTTCGCAGACTACTACTCTTGGCCCTTCTTCGCCGTCGGCGTTTGCACCACTGACCACCACGCACGTCAATGTCTCATGAACAAAATTCTCGCTTTCTGGGAGACAACCAAAAATGGGACCATGCAACGCCTGAAAGGGTTGCTCACAGGGGTTTGGGGATGGTGCTGGTAGTCTCTACTGGAGATCCGATTCCGTTCTGCCACATTCTTGGACATCCTGGAGTCTAGTCGATCAGAGACTGGGACTGCTTCATCCATAACTCCTTATACCGATATCCGTTCTGGAGAAGCTGTTGGTGTGTTCCTTGCTCGATAATACGGCCTTGATCGATCACGAGGACGACATCGGCGTCAACGACGGTGGAAAGGCGATGAGCAATGACAAAGGTGGTTCTTCGGTTGGTGAGGTTATGTAAGGCAGTTTGAATCTTCGACTCGGTGATGGTGTCAATGGCCGAAGTCGCCTCGTCCAGAAGGACAATTTTGGGCCTTTTCAACAAGACTCGAGCGATCGAAAGACGCTGCATCTCACCACCCGACAGCTTGATCCCACGCTCGCCGACTTTTGTGTGGTATCCTTGACTGAAAGTGAGAATCTTGTCGTGGATGGCTGCAGCCCTACATGCTTCAAAGACCTCCTCATCAGTCGCATCCAATCGTGCATAGCGAACATTGTCCAAGACGGTCGTATTGAAAAGGACCGTCTCTTGTGGCACGACGCCAAAGACTTCCCTCAAGGAATCCTGGGTGACATGTCGAACGTCCTGTCCGTCGATCAGAATCCTGCCGGAATTGACATCGTAGAAGCGCATGAGCAGTTTCAGGATTGTCGATTTGCCACTTCCTGTCTCTCCTATCAGGGCAATCTTCTGACCCGGCAATGCTTGAAAGCTGAAATGATCCAACGCCAACCTGTCCTTGTGGTATCCGAATCCAACATCATCGAATTCGACTTTGCCTGCGCTGACATCAATCCGCCTCGCCCCTTCAATATCTTGGACCGTCGGAGTTGATTTGAAGAGTTGCAAGAGTCTCTCGGCGTCGATCAGGTCGGTTGTCAATTGGCGGTAGCTGTGACCCATCACCATGAGTGGCATAGTGATGGTGTACCAGTAACTTTCCACCGCGATCACGGTCCCAATCGCTGCTAGTCCTTGTGACACTCGATGAGCGGCGAGGAGGATGACACCAATCTTCCCAGCCTGTTCGCAGAATTCTTGTGCTCCATAAAGGTAGATATAACTGTCATTACTGCGGAGATCAGCTTCGGCGATTCCTTTTAGGACCCTGGAAAGCCGGGCCTTTTCGTAGCCTCTTCGATTGAAGTACGACACGATGGGCCAGTGGCTGATGGTCTCGTACAGGATTTTGCTCTGGTCGCGTTCCCGTGCAGAGAGGTCTCTTCGGGAGGCGTTGACGAAAATGGTGATGTACGCTGTGAGGAAAGTGAAAGCAACGGCGACCGCCAGAACCAGAAGCACAGCATACCCATCAAGAAGGTACGCCACATACCAAAGGGCAATGAAAACATCCAGCACCCCGGGGACCACCTCCAAGACAACAATCTGAAGCAAGGAATTCAAAGAAGTTGCCTGGTCGAGGGCCTTGATGATCTCCCCAGAATCCTTTTCATCGTGAAAATCCATCGAGAGACGCATGACATGGTCAAAGGCAGCGACCACTAGCCTCTGGAATGACCACATGGAGATGCGTCGCTCAATCATCTGGTTCAGAGCCCCGAAGCCTGTGGAGTCCGCGGCCAAAAGTCCGAAGAGCCCGTACAGACCGACGTCCAACCACGGGATCCTTCGCTCGGCCGTGAGCCTGTTGATGATTATTCCTAGCTGTCTCGGGGCCAGGACATTCAAGGCTCTGGTAAGTAGGATGTTGACAATCAAAACAAGGATAGCCAGGGTCAGTCGGGTATTGCCTGAAGGCCAAATATATTGCCAGAAAATGCCAAATTCTTTCAGATAACCAACCCAGCCTCCGGAGCTCTTCAGCCTCTTCTGCTGAATCTCCTTCAGTTCTCTATCCGACTCGTCATCGTCATCACTGTCCGACTCATATCCAGAAATCGTGTCGCTGTCCGAAGACCTGTCGGTTTTTGAGTAGGATGGGTTCGTATTCTGCTGTGTCGCCTCGGAGGACCAAGATGGCGACATCAATGGTCTTGTCTCGTCTGTGTCATCCGCGTCGTCCCTCGGTGCTGACTGGCATCTACCCGAAGCCAGGCCAAGAACCGAGAGACCGGCCATGAGAACGAGTGAAAATATCTGGACAGCAAGACTTGGCCAGTACAACTGTGAAGTGGTGAGAGAAAGGCCGGTGTAGGTTATTTCCAGAACAAGTGTCAAGACCCATGCCGGGAGATAATGTCGCGAAATTGGAGATGGGGTTTGGGCTAGGCTCAGAGACAGCGTCGTCCATAGCAAAACTTCCGCAAGCATATGAATGTGGGCATCTTTGCGGAACTCGACACCTGGAAGTACCTCAAGGACGGATTGAGTCAGATAGGCGACCGCTATGGTCCAGCTGAGCCAAAGCGCTGGCCCTCGCCATAATCTGTGCCGCTGCTCTTCATTGATGCTCGTGGCCTGACAAGCAAAGTAGATATTAAAACCGATAAAACATACTGCAGAAAGAATTGGCGATGCATAGCGAAAGACAGTGAGTACTAGGCCGGCCGACATGATGTGCTGTAAAAGAGCTCAGAATGAAAACGCTAACGTCGATATGCAAAATAGCGATATGCAAAACAGCGGAGGTTTTAGAAGCCAAGTAAAAAAGCTGGAGAAAAAAAGAGGTCCAAGTATCATGACATCCGATGAAGACATGTTATACAATAATACTGTGCTGGAGTGTGTGTAGCAAAAGCGACCCTCCTGTGCCGAGATGAATGACGACCGACGCCCCTGACATCAACCGCCACATGTGAAAACGCTGTGGCCTTATACAGTGACTCACCGGTGGCTTTTTAGCCGTGTTCGTAGGGGCAACGAAGGGCTGAGTTTTCAGCCTAACCATGATCTTTGACTCCCAGCCTTGTACGTTTTAACAACCGGCCTGGACAATTGGGGGAATAAATGCTCTGAGCGTGCTCAATTCAGAAAAATTACCAGTGGTGACGCGTTAAGGATTTTTGGGTAAGGCCAGTGCGTCCCACCACAATCACCTCTTATTACATATGTGCGCGTACCGTATTTCTTTGTGCACCGGTTGGAAAGCCTGGAAGGTGGCGGCGAAGCGCCTGGACTCATGAAATATTAGGCTCTCGGAGCTTGCGCCTCCTAGGCCAAAAAAATCGAACATCCCTGCAGATCCCGCCTGTAGATGATTTGCTGGTCTCCTCTGGGCTGCTCGTATTGGCGGTCTACATCCCGTTTCACTTGACCTCATGCGGTAATAATAGCCCTCACGAGTCAGAGGCAGCTCGTAATAATCCCTTATCAAAGGTGTTGATTGGGATTCGGAATGATGACATCCTTCATTGAAGATATCAGTTGTCATACGAGGGGGGCAAGTTTAGATTTTGAAAAGATAGCAAATGTGGTTTCTCTTGCCTTGTTCTACCCAGATACGGATCCCCATCATACTGTACATTTTCAGAACGCCACCAGGGCCGCAAATACAGCAACGCACAGGGCATAAATGCCGTCAACGTGAAATGTAGCCGCACCGTTCGCTTTGCTGCCATCGCCGGACCCTGTCCCATCTTGACTGCTACTGTTCTGGCTGTCAGTGCCGCCCGTGACGTCCGGAATGAAATCGGTGACGTTGGTAGGATTGCCATCATTGAACAGCGTGGCGTTGCCACTCAAGCTGCTCTTGTGATTAGTGCTGCCGTCGACACACAGTGAGTAGGGCTTAGTGCCGTTTGTGCCAAACGCTTGCCCTGCTACGGTGGCCCAGATGGAACCCACGCTTGACACGTGCTCGGGTGTGTAAAAGAGACGGCAGTCGGCAGCTTCGTACACGAACTGCAACGGTGTGTAGCTGGTGTCTCCCTCCGCGATGTTGTTGCGCATGTTGAACGAGATCTCATTGGTCTTTTCGCCGCCGCTTGCAGTCCTCAAGGTCACGTAGTCACCGAGATTGTAGATGGTCTCGAGCGAGGTTCCCTTCATGGCATCCAGTGTGGCATTGTCCGCCACTTCATAGGCGAGATTGGTGATTGCGATGAGGTTGCTGAAGTAGATCACTTGGCTACCTTTGACTTGCCCAAGGGTCTGCATTGGCCCCGTCTGCGATCGCCCGCCAATAGCGATTGACTTGACTTTGCCCTGCCACTTCAGGAAGTGTGTGAGCAGGGTGCAGGTGGAACCGCAGTTTCCATCGGTGAGGACAATCATGTTCTCTGGCTCAAACGGCTGCGGAGCGAGGTTGCTCTCGTTGGCGTACCCAGAAATTACGATCGCGCTGAATGATTCATCGTACTCGGGATCCGAGAGATTGTAACGATTCAAGTTGGTAGACTGGCCGTGGCCGGGGACCTGGACAGGGCCGTAGTAGTCGTCGAAAGATGAAAACGCCTGGAGGGAGTCGTTGAGGTATGTCTCCGCGGCGAAGACAGTAGTCCCACCCATATCACCAAAATTGGTATAGTTGTCAGGCTGCTCGTGCAGAGCCTCGGTGGACAGATTCGTGATCACTCTGCCGAGCAACTCAAACCCTTCGTGGGCTCGAGAATTCGATGCACCGTAGGGTATCAACGAAGGGAATAATTGTTTGAAAGTATCATAACCAAGTCCAACGCTGCCTCCACCATTGCCCGACAAGTCTATGATGAGATTTCTCTTCTTTTGTTGACGACAAATATCAAGGTAGTCGGTTAGAGAGTTTTGGAAGCTCGAGGCTGCAGTTTCAGACATTTGACGGAGGGCCAAAACAGCGAGGTCTTCAAACCCTGGATCGTCAAAGACATACCCAGATAGCGAACCATCCTCCGAGATGACAGTGGGGGTTGGGTAGTGATCAATTTGTGTGATTTTAGTGGCACTATCACTGGCACTCGCACTTGCAGTGGCAGTGGGTGTTGCCGACTCGACTGATGCTGTGGCCGACGCGGATGACCGGGCATCTTTCTCGGTAGCGTTCAAGAATTTTTGATAGAAACTGTCACCATCCACAATGCCCGTGAAGTTTGCATTCACCAGTGCGAAATTGTCCTTCTCCACGCCGGTGCCATTCTCATATGTGAGTGATGTTGACGGACCAGGATAGAAGAGCAACATCCCTGTGAAAGTCCCGAGGCTTGGGCCGGAGTTCTCTCCGCTGTTGAAAGAGTAGAAGAAGTTATTGTAGATCGCATCCGGATCTTGTGGACCACCAATCATACTTTTGTTGCTGCCAATGGCCAAGGCATACTCAGCAGCGTCGGCACCGTTGATGGAGGCTACCGCTGGTGGGTTTGGACCACCAGATAGGTAATCTCGAACGTCAGCTACAGGTCCTGTTAGCCGGCGCCTAGAGATGTACATGTCTCGACGTACCTAGAAAATAAATGCGAGGAAGCCGAGATCCATCCATGGAAACTGAAACAAGAGGACCGAATTGCGACTGGTAGCTGAAGATACTCAATCCGTCGGGCACAAAAGCCAAATGGCCGTCATGAGCACTCGCCAGAATCAAGGTAAGGTTGCCTTCAAACTCCATCTCCTTTTGAATTGCTCCAGATTTCACCGAGCTTCGCAGTGCAGCCAGCTTTTCTGTGAGGTTAACCGCGGCCATGGGATATCCGTCTGGGGGCGAAGCCAAGAACTCTAGAGTCGACTGGAATTCAAGCATCGCGGCGAGCCCATCGATCAGCTTCACGGCATCTTCCTGGACCACAGGCACGGAGGCAGCACAATCGTGCGCGAGACTGGCAGCGAGGAGAGGTCCAATGGTTGCTCGTACTGTCAGCCCTTGTCCATGAAACCACACGGGAAGAGCACTGTACCAGACGGAGAAGTTGATGCATAGGAAGCTTGAATGCTGCTCACTTGGGCGCAGGCTGGCAAAGTTCCAGACGCAGTCGCTATGCTCGGCGTATTGGCGGCGGTTGAAGCCAATACTGAGGATGTCTGCTGACCTTTGGCAACAAAGCCAAGGGCTAAGAGAGATACAGCTGCTCTCGGCGAGATCATCTTGCTCTGCGTAATCTCAAATTCTCTCAAAATACTTTGATGCCAAGGAAATGAGAGAAAACGCAGAAACACAAGATATCAGATTGAAACTCAGGATGAATATCTGTCTGGGGAGCTGAGGTATTTAAGATAATCCATGACCAGCTATCCTGCCTTTTTCGCATGTCTGGTCGCAGCCAGATTCCCGTGGACCTGGGGATGTGGGTTCGCGGTGTTTGAGTTGAGAGACATCGGCCACCAACGAGGCCGACGATAGGTTGGTAGAAGTTTGGGGGCCATCGTTTGGGATGATCCAGGGTCACTTCGCTGCTGGGTAGTGGTACTCCTACCTGCACAGGATAGAGAAGGAAGAGGTAGTAATAGATATTTCCATGAAGATCGTCGTGGTCGGAGACCCCAGAGCGGCCTTCCGCATTTCCTAAATAGGTGCCTCCGTAGAGAGATGTGGGATCGTTCAGTACATCAGCCACTCGTAGACGCTTGATTGGGGCGTAGAGCATACAATAGGTAATGAGACGGGGTACAGAGTTTGGAACAATATCATAAGGATTCTAAGAGAACTATCCAGGTACCATTATACTCGACGTGGGCTCGTGGCGTTGTCGTGAGATATTAGTGCAACAGCAAAAACCATCATGGTTGTTAGTCATGGCTGACTGGTCCTTGTCTCGGCAAGAGTACCCCGATGCTCTCAAACGACATCCTTGGCGGGTACACCCTGTGCTGTCCTGTTAATGTCCTCATCGACTCAGATTTCTCGTTTGCTGACAGCTGCGGAACCTCTTCTGCACGTTGGACAGACTAAATTGAGGTGCACTCAGGTCAAGAATGCCGAAGCCGATCAGACCTAGATTAAATATTGTACTTGGCAACTACTTAGTAAAGAGTGGGCTGATGACCGCATCGGCTGGTCTCTAGAGAAAAGCTTCAGCAATCCTTTTCCTTGCTTCTGCAGGTGGATATCACATCCTCCGCCCGTGATGGGGAAATTAACCAGACGACATCTATCCACTCAAAGTAAAAGAGACGAATTAGGCGTCTAGATTGCCGACGATTGTAGATGCTGACGCCGGAGGAAACACTGTTGTCCGACGGGTATCGATGACGTCCAGGAGCAACGCCTCGAGATGGTGGGAGTTATCCGCAGCAATGGTTCAGAAGGCCGAAGGTAAGGAAACGTATAACACACGGCGTGTATATTTATGATGTTGCACTCTATCGATATGAACAATGGCACCAGTTGATTTAACTCAGATCTCAATCCAAGAGCTTGAGTCTTCCAGTCTTCTTTGGATCTCCTACCTAGCTATCTTCTATGTTTCTGGTCTCGAAACTCCTCCAGAACCTCTAGTTTCTCGCTTCACCGCACCTGTTCTTTGCGAGCTTCGGTTTGAGCTGTAGTAAGGGCTTTGCTTCGGCCCACTCTGGCATTCCTGCCTAACCTTGATTGGACGCCCTTTGCTTACACAACGGCCAAATCCGGAGTAGGCATTGGGATTGTATCATTATGAGGCCGCGCAAAACGTGGAAGTAGAAATCTGGTACGGTTGGAGATGAACTGGTCCTGTGTGAGACGGAGGCTCGGTGAACAGAGCTTTTGAGCTATATCCTCCGCGTATCTGCGACAAAGAATCCGCAATATTCACAATAACAGATCTTACCCTGTTCTGGCCGAAAGTCGTGTCCAATTAATGTCGTCCCCCAGATCAGCAGCCCAGCAACAGCTTATCGAAACGGGAAGGTGAAAATACCAAGGCCAGGATAGTAACCGGGTTAGCCGTAATCAACGGCGCGTTCGAGTCGTTTAGCCGATGGTTCCTTTTCCTGGCTGATAGAATTCTTCCAGATGAAGAATCACAAGTTCGGCTCATGGCGGTCCATCCTCGCTTTCAGGCCGGTGTGCGGATGGCTGCCATGCAGAAACATCTGGCGATCATGGATGTGGTGATGGGTGGAGTATTGGTCACCGGTAGTGGTAGAGCTCGATGCGGCGGCTTAGTCACTGAAGGAAGATTAGAAACATGTCGTAACACCATCGGGTCAAATCCTACCATCTGTCTGTGGTCTAGACCCCATTGGATGGAACGGTCCATTCGGTTGGATAAACGCTGTCATGATGGGAAGTCTCTTGGGAAGACCCAGTTATACCGACGCCGGAGCCACATAAAATATGGATATAGTTGCGAAGCAGTGCATTCCGCCATGCTACTCTTCTCCAAGCCTGGAGTCGTCTGGATTTGCACAGCTCAAACACTCGCATGGTATTCGCCCTCGGCAGGTTTTTCATATCCCGATGCTATAGCCAATACCCTCCGTTCGGCTGTTGAAGCAGGCCAGTACCATTGCCATCTTGACACGCCGTACCGATGTGGTAAACTTGCACTAGCAGTGATTCAAAGGCCTGTCTTGCTCGGAATGTCGATGAGACCAGACCCTGGCTAGTGCTCCGGCGTTACACCCCCGTTCTTTGGGTATTCTTTGCTCAAAAGTTCCTGCCATATCTTCCTTGAGTGATCCAATGAATGGCAGTATCATAGTTGTATCCAGGCTCTGAGGTCTGTCACCGCGATCGCTGCGAGTTGCCATGGCAGCGCATGCAGTGACGGCCAAGTAGAAGAGACTCGACCAAGGAGAAAGTGTGCCTCAGACTGTATCCGATCACCTAGCGGAATTGGGTGATTATTTTGGATGTCGATGGTATAAGAAGAGCTGCTTAAATAATTATATTCACTTTCTCTTGACGGGTGACGGCATTCATCAGTGTACGTCCACACAGGCGTTGAAAGGCAAAAGTTTCTTCCGCGATGAAGGCGTGCTTTGCCTTGGGCGTATGCGCTTTGGGCCGTAGTCTGCCTTTCGCCAATCCCTCGAGAATAGTTGGAGTGTGCTGTTCGTTGCGGCCAGCCTTGCCTTTTTTACATCGCCCTCACCCATGTCTTCGACATCGCTACGTTTCCTTTTGGAAAAACTCGGCATGAAACCGTCATCTGCTGGAGCGGAATGTGACGTAGGAGGGCTTTTTGAAAGTGCAGGAATTCCAAAGCGTGATGTCTGAGTTGAAAAGGTCTTCATAAAGGTCATCTTGGCTGCATACTGTTCGTAGTTCTCTGGCGCACCAGACTTTATCCGTTTCGCAGTAGTATCTTCTTCTGGACCGTCGATATCGGGAACTGTAGTTTCGGACGACTCGGGGTCACTACAACTTTCACTTTCGCCGCTTGTAAAACTGCTGATGGAGCCAGGTGTAGGAGTTTGACCCTGCAGAAACCTGGCTTCTCCCTTTTCTAAGTCGAGAGGATGTGTGCAAGTCCAGATCTGAGATAAAACCGGATCCCGGCGAGCCCAAGCCGGCGAGGCCAAGGACAGGCCTTGCTCGCAATCTTTTGTATTTTCGCACCCCCAGACATCCTCTTCTCTGGAGCCAGAGGAGACTGAGTGCGAGAGAAACTGCCGTAATCGCAGGCTGGTGCGCGCAAGGATTGTAGGTATGAGGGCTTGGTAGGATTCGTCTATTGTTGGAGGCGGCGTCGCCAATCTTGTGGTATCCAAGCACAATGGAGGAGGGGATTGATCCATGCAGTGCATGGCGCACTCTTCAATCGCTTAGCGATATGTCATTGGTACCTCGAGGATGGATTCATCACGATCATGGCGATGGTGATGGTGATGGATGTCCCCAAGACTGCGCTTTATGTGTCGTGGTTGGGAGAGTGGCAATGGCTCTTGTGAAGAGCACAGAGAGCCAAGGCGCAGTTATCCACGTGATCTTGCTGGTTGCAATATATAATTTCGTATTTGGTTTCCAAGTTCCGCCGTATACAACGTGCTCAGCCATCTGGCGTTGGCTTAGCCTTTCTTACACTACGTGGATGAACCAGAGTACGAGGTCAAATATGGCCAATACAGAAACCTCTACTTGTACACCTGATCGTGATACTGCTTCTGCAAGTCCGCCTCCTTTGGGACCATTTGCTAGCTTGGTCCCATTGAACAGAGATGCACGCGAGAGGTTTTCTTCCGCCGTTCAGACCATCCTCGACAATCCTGATCAGTGGGAACGTGCCAGAAACAATCTCAGGTGGGAGCACAATCGGCATGAGTCGGTGAGCACAAACAGTGTCTTCTCCGATGCAGAAGATGTCGCTCAAGAAACCACCGTTTATGCGCATCCTGCGTATATCGGAGAGTATTTGTTCCAGTTGGACCATCCTCCTCGGCAGGGTGCATGGATCCTCGGCGATGGACGAGGCTCATTTCGTACTGATGTCGACTTCCTCTTGACAGCGCCGCATACTTCGCGTGCTATAGCAGGCAGACATGCCCTGATCTACCATGACAAGAGGACTAGGCGCCTTCTACTTAGAGCCAACCACAAAGTCATTGCACCATCCCCAAGCAATCCCGGCACTTCGATAATGCTCAACAGGAAATCTGATCCTCAGACAATGGAACTAGTGCGCCGTCACGAACTGAGAATTGGGACATGCACCTATCTCTTTGATTATACGGACGCCGCAACTTCCACACAGTACTCCGTGCGCCTCGGCGATTTCATGCGTAAAATTTATGGCGAACAGTGGCAAGGGATCAATTCTCTGACTCCAGGCCTTCTTAGCGTTACACCTGACGAACAATCGATGCGCTTTGGCAAGTACAGCTGGCCCATTGGCGCCTTTGCGGAGGGTACATTCGGCCAAGTAGTCGCCGGAACAACCATCAGTGGAGAAGCCATTGCCGTAAAAAGGTTGAAGTTTCCGAACGGTAACGACCTTGCAAAAATTCAGAAAGTTATGGCACATCTCCAGGGCCATGTATGTTCTTTTCATGAATATGAATATTTGTAATCGTAATTGACCTGGTGCAGCCTCATATTGTACAGCTACTCGACTGCTTTGCTAACTCCGATGCAAAGATTCCCGAAGCCTACTGTTTCTACCGACCATTTTGCATAGGCACTTTGATAGATGTCTACCGTGCTAATATTCCTCTACAGTCTTTCATAAGGCTCACTCACCAATACTTTGCGGCCCTGGCATATATGCACGAAGAGAGACATACTATGCATCGTGACATCAAACCTTCCAATCTTGGCGTCCAGCATCTTGAACCTAGCCACGGTGTTCTACTTGATCTGGACGATGCTATAGCTGCCGAGTCTTCGACGGATCATCAAAAAGGAACCATCGCTTATCTTTCACCAGAAGTAGTGGCCATGAAAGACCCAAGTCTCAAAATCGAATTTTCCACGAAATGGGGGGTCGAGTTCACGGAAAGTTACGGCCCAGAAAACGATAATTGGGCTCTAGCAATGTCTATATATCATGTATATTTTCGGAAGATCCACAGGACACTAACCACACCGCAACTGGTGGAGTTTATCAGAGAAGATATACAACGCGAGTCAGAAGCAAACTCTTCCTTTGCACCCCTTGGCGACGTTCTTTTGGCTTTACTTGTTGTCGATCGCAGCCAACGAATGTCGGCGTCTATGGTGGCACGAGAGCTGTTGCTTGTTCTTGAAGCAGGTCAAAAGCGAGGTATCTCAGAAGCATCTGACAACAACGAGGATACGTCAGCCAAGATGCTATCCAGTCGCCCGTAGACTTGGTCTGTCATTCGAATTTTGGCCACTGCAATGAGCGATGGTCATTAATATAGACAGTAGATAGGCAGAACCGAATGTTTTGATGACGCACTTCAGTACTGATGACTAAACCCAACCACAGGAGCCACCAGCCCTCTCGTTGTTGTTTCGCTTAATCATCATGTGCAAGTTTCTCCGAGATGTGGCGTTGGCTCGTGTGCGATCGCTGACCAATCCTGCCCCCGTGTGAATCAAGGCGACGAGATCACCTTTTCTTCGCCATAGACTGAAGGTAGCAGATAAATTCATGAAAGGGCATTTCGCCGGCATTCATCTTTCCCACCAGCAAGGAAACACAGCACACCTTGGGCAGAGGCCGAGCATGACTTCGACAAGATGAGCTAGCCAAAAGACAAACGCCTAGCAGTACCCACGATCTGGCGGGTGCTGTTGGTCTACAAGAATCCGCAATGGGGATCAAAGGGTGTTGGACCTGTAGAGGTAAGGCAAACCAGGAGAACAGGTGTTGCCATGGACACTGGACTGTGCTAATCCTCCTCAGAGCGCAAAGTTCGATGTGACTCCGTTTGGCCGAGTTGTGGCAATTGCATAAAGGCACAGCGTGTGTGTAAAGGCTATGGGATTCAACTGTCCTGGCCTCGAAATGGCGACAAAAAAAGAACAATTGTCTTGCCAGATACGCTTTGTGCAGGGAGCACTAATCAAGCAAACATCAAAAGATTCTTGAATACATCTTCCTGGGACATATCGTTATCGGCCGAGCTAGAGAACAGAAGGCTTCCTGGTACAACTCACCTCGGAAGCAGAGTCAAACTATCTGACACTAACGGCAATCACCTGTAGTACGTTACCTTCGTACCATGAGAGTCCCCCACCCGAGGTATCTATCGCCCATCACCTTGGATCAAGAAGAGTTTTATCTACTTGGGTTCTGTATGTTGGACAGCTCCCTAGACCTCACTGTCTTACTGACCACAGTATCTCAGTCAATGAATCAAGATCACTGATATTGGGACCAACCGATCAGGAGGCTCTGGCCAAGTTTATATTGAGGGTCGCTTTCTCGGATCCATCTGATACAACCAATCCAGTCTTGCAAGGTGTGCTTGCTCTCGCTTCACTACAGATCCACGGTAGCTTCAAGAGCTTTCGCTATAAGCATCAAGTCATGTCGTCAGTCAAAGAGTCTCTAAACTGGTCTGACGAGAGGACTCTGCTTCGGAACCTGATGGCAACCATGCTGTTATATCACTATGAGGTAATTCGACCCGTCCGTATCGGCGCGTCACATTTAGCTAATAATCACAGCTCTCACTCGAATCCAACTCAAAAGGCAGTTGGGTAAACTATCTATGCACCGTGAAAAAGATAATCAACACGTCTCCGGCAGTTCACAAGCTGGTTCGGCAAGAATATTCGATCTTCCTGGACTGGATCTACTATCATGAGGTCCTCGCAGAGTTCACAGTCAGACATTGGAAGGTACCTTACGAAGGCTGCGGTTGGGCTCCAACAGCAAGATCTCTCAGCGTCACTGAAAGGAGCGTTCTCGAGGTAGATTGGAATTCCTTGACGTCCGCCGTCGTCATCTGACACTATGGCAGGCAGAGAATAACATCGGCTGCCCAATTAATGTGCTCCAGCTGGTTGTGCGTGCATGCAGGCAAGCTATCGTGACGAAACCTTTCGAGACGGAACCTACAAATGATCACACGGAGGACACCAACACACTCGAACATAGTATCTCCCAGGCAGTTGGAAACTATGGCCCCATCCACGTAGAGTCCACGACATCTACAGACCAAAACACTGTGATTTCCGATCTTCATCGAATTGCATGTCTGATCTATGTTAATCGGGCGGTCCATTGTGTTTCAGGAACAGAGTTTCGTCACAAGCGCCTTGTGAGAGAGGGAATTTTGCTGTTGACCAAGATGCAAACATGCCAGTACGCGTGGCCATTATTTATAATCGCCTGTGAAGCCATTGGCGATGATCAGCGCCTTGCCGTTATGGATGTTTTTGAACAAAGCCAAAAAGATCGAAGACGAAGATCAAGCCATATTCACTTCATTCAGCATACTGTCGAGGCAATGTGGAACCAGCAGGATTTGAATACAGAGAACCAAGTCGACTATTTGACTATCTTCAATGCGGTCGTTGGCGGAGTCCCATTCATACCTCCTTTTGCCTGAATTCAACTTCTTCTATGTTCTATCAACAACTACTCGGTACCTGCAATGGTTAGAACCATCCATCACTATTTCCACGATGTGTCAGAGTTTTTCCACTGTCTGCTTCCGTCAGACCCTGGATCACCTGGAGCTGAAGCTTGATTGCTTCTTCCACCGAGATCGGCCCTTCGACGCTCTTGTCGATTTTGTGAAACGCGTTCAGCATGAACTTCCGCACCTCCGGATCGCCGGTGACTGCACGAGCTATGTTGAGTCAGTAACCTAAGCTGATGCATTCCGAATATCAACAAGACTAACCGGAATCCGTGTCGACCCAGCCTGGGCTCAGGGACACCGTCTTTATACCCTCTGGGGCCAACTCAATGGCATACTTGGTGGCGATCATATTGACACCAGCCTTGCTGACAGAGTAACCCAGCAAGGTAGAAAGGCCAGTGATCCGAGTAAACTCAACATCACCACTTGGACTGGTAATGAATGCAATTTTTTTCTCTTTGCCGTTGCGTATGAGATCAAGGAAGGCATTGACGACGAAGATGTTGCTAGTCACGTTTGTTTTGGTCTGCACACAGTCAATTTCGGCTATTATCGATCATGGGCTAGCTGAAGTGAAGGGCCATACATTCTCATTGATCTCATTTACCAATGCCTCTTCTTTGCCATGGCTGCACCGTGTCAGCAGAGTCAGTCTTCGTACGCATCAGGCTTGACACTCACAAAGCACTCGGCGACAACGCGCCAGTATCAGGTCCTGGAGAGCTTGCGTTGAGAATCAACACATCAAGTGAACCGGCTGTAACTTTTGCAATTTCAGCTGCAGCCTGAGCTAATTTTCCTGGATCGGCAATATCGGTCACCACAACATGGATGTTCTTCCGCTTTGTAGCAAGTTCCTCAAGTGGACCGGCAGTCGCTCGACTTCGAATGAGAGCAAACACCGTATTCTCGGAGTTCGCAGACTTTTTGTGGTAAAGTCAGCGTCGTGTTTGTGTTGTCGGTATAATTGTGCTGGTAGACTCACAAGATTATTGACGAAGCCGAACTGTGAAGGTGTTTCAATTAGCATTTGACATTGTAGTGGTGGTGCTCTAGGGGTGTTAGAAGCTTACGCCAATGCCTCGGGTTGCGCCAGTAATAGCCCAAGACACCATTTTCACGTTTGTTGATAGAACGCAGGGATGGCTTCCAAGTAAAAATAATTGAAGAAGGGTGAACTATCCTCTCTTAAGCTGATCGATGGTTATGATACAGCAGCAAAATGGGAGACTGTCGCATCCTAATATACTTGAGGTCAACATAATCGTCATGTTTAGAAGTATCTAGCAATAAAGGATGTGCTATAATCACTGGAAAGTATTTTCGAGGTCGTATGGTCTTATTAATCCACGTCTGGACTGTTCGCTGGTACTAGTGTCCATGCCGTGGCATTATGTAAAGTGAGGCAACTTTCTCCGGTAGCAGAGGACTCCACCTAGAACGGTTCTCGCGATTTTGGTGCGGGTTGGTGCGGGCTAGTGCGGTTCGAGGCATATAGTATGATGCACTGAGAAGTGAATTTCATACTTGATTTGACTTGGCTCAGCTAAACCAATGCGATAGTTGGTGTGACTTGGTATAACAGCTCTTGCGTAGCCTGAAACCAGATTATAAATGCTTCCAAAGGTTGCGTCGTAGGCTTGACGCCGTCGAACGTTGTAGATACAATATAAATATCACTCTTGGGCTCGAGGAGTCTGACAGTCCCAATTTCTATCTACATATTTATACATACCAGACGAAGGGCTCAGTACCAATATCAAGCCGGGTTGACCTAACCATAAATCCACGAAACATGGCCGCCACGATACCAGTTGCCCTCATCCTGGGAGCAGGACCAAATATTGGCCAGACAGTAGCTCAGATCTTTGCTTCGAAAGGCTACAAGGTTGCTCTCGCTTCACGGTCACTAAACGAGGGAGAAAGTACAGACAATCAACTGAACATCAAGAGTGACTTCTCCAAGCCTGATGATGTTGTCAACGCATTCACAAAGGTGAACACGGTGTTTGGAATTCCAAGTGTCGTTGTCTACAATGGTAGGACTAGATCCTCAATCAAGCCTTTGCACTCCCTCTAACGTGTCTCAGTCAGCGCTTCAACCTTCACTCCTGCCAAGGAGCCGTTTGCTCTTCAACTGGACGATCTCAAACGAGACTTGAATATCAACGTTATTAGTGCATACGTTGCGGCGCAGCAAGCCGTCTCCGGATTCTCCAAGCTTCCAAATTCTGCTTCCAAGACGTTTATCTACACTGGAAATATCCTCAACGTCAATATTCTCCCAGCGTTCATTGACCAAGGCATGGGGAAATCCGCAGGAGCACATATGATCTGGGCTGCAGCAGCTGCGTACAAAGACCGTGGATACAAGTGAGCCATTCTTCTCCTACTTTCGGCTGCTTGTGATAGAACTGACTTATTATAGATTTTACTATGCCGACGAAAGAAAGACGGACGGGTCACCAATTTACAGGGTCAGCGGAGAGGCACATGCAAAACACTACTGGGAGCTTGCGGAGCATAACTCGCAGGGTCCCTGGTTACAAACATTCGTCAATGGTGCGGGATACACGAATTTTGACAATCCTCATGAGTCCTCTCTTTGAGGAATTTGAGTGTTGTCACTTGATTATATCACCGGCAGAACCATGTAGAGTACCGCTAGCGCAGTGACTTGTGAGTCGTACCGACTCATGCTCACCTCTATATTTTAGATCTTTCTCCATGGCAGCTTCACCTCGTGGGATCTCTAAAATGAACGATTCAGTTACGTACCTTTAATCTTCGCATGCTTCGTGCCGGGGAGACCCTTCCGGGACGCTGGCAGTTTTCTGGAAGTTAAGTGCACCCCACCGGTGACGGATCTCTTGTACACCGGCGGGACGATTTCTATATACTCCGATATACACGCTATGGTTTAGTAGTCGTTTGTGTGGACGAAAAGTCTTGGGCACTATGGGGAGAGTGCCATTGATACCCCACAGTAAGGCTACAGCCCAGACCCCGTGGGGTCTTTATGAAATCTCGGTTCCAGGAACTAGATTGAGCCGAAGCTGCTCACACGTCAAAACTCTATCTCGCGTGTAGCACGGTTTCTCAGGCGGAAATTCTGATGCAGCAATCGTAGAACAATTCAATAAAAGCGCCTTTTGGCAAATTCGAGCCGTGCGCACACAGGTAGCTTTGACCCTTGAAGAGAGACCCTGAAATCATGGAAAACATGCGAGCATTGAAAATCCTACAGGGTGCGAAAACACCGACTCTGGAGACCGTCGAAATTCCTCCAGTAGGACCGCAGGATGTTCTCATCAAAGTCAAAGCTGCCGGCCTGGCACCAGGCCCGTTCAACCTGGCCAGGATCGGCAGGCTCACTCATCTTCCAATGACGCTTGGCCATGAGGTCGCCGGCGTGGTCGAGTCGGTTGGCAACTCGGTCCGCCATGTGCAGCCAGGCGATCGAGTCCGGCTTCACCCGGGTCTCTCGTGCAGATCTTGCGATCTTTGCCTGTCTGACCGCGACCACATGTGTGCACAGTGCGGGATGATGGGCTTCCAGGGATTCAGTAACGACATTCCCTTATTTGAGAACTACCGAAACGGCGGATTGGCGGATTATGTGCGAGCACCAGAATGGGCGGTTGACAAGTTGCCTGAAAATGTCAGTTTTGAACTCGGGTCCAAGGTCCACGATCTTGCTACTGGTCTCAATGTGCTGCGACAGGCGGACCTCCAGCCTGGTTCCACAGTTATCGTGACCGCATGTACGGGCGCCATGGGTGCTTCGGTCCTCAAACTCGCAACCTTCTTTGGAATTCACCGGTTGGTTCTGGTGGGACGATCGACAGAGCGACTCCAGGATGTAGCCAAGTTAACTGGCATTCCCTGTGACATCGTAGCAACGGATCAATTGTCTGAAGACTGGGCGACCAAGGGTGGGCTTGTGAAGAGCTTGAAAAGCCTCTTGCCCGGTGGAGCGGATGCTATCATCGACTTGATGCCTTCAGGTCAAGCAATTTTGCAAGTTGTCCAGGCGCTGCGTACCAACGGGGTTCTGGTACACATTGGAGGGAACAGCGCTTCATTTGACCTGCCCATGGTCCTTTTCATGGCCAATTGTTGGAGAATCGTGGGAACACGCATGCATTCAAGGAGAGATGCGAAAACAATATTGAAGTGGCTACAAGAGGGACGTTTCAGCGCAGAGGATTTGATCACTCATCGATGGGAGTTCGATCAGTGGAATGAAGCTTTGGCTTTACTTCAGGACAGGTCTGAGCCTATGTACATGAGTGTCATCTTACCCTGATAGTACATGACAGCCAGGTGTAGACTTTTATCAAGGATACTGAAGAGTTCAGAATAGGATATGATGCATCCTTACTGCCACAATGATTTTGTCGTTCTTGAACCAGTACTCCGATATAGCTGAGCATAGTCCTATGAACCTGATTCATGTCACTCCCGCCATGCTAGCGCTTCATAGCGGATTTACGTGTTGAAGTACTGATTGGATATGGCTAGATATATTACTACGAACCTATACCATGTCGCTCACATAATCCTAGAGTTTCACAGTAGATTCGCTTCTCCATAGTATCGACGAGCTCCAGAATGTAGCGGTACAGGCGTCTTGAGCATCTTTGCCGGCTCTAGAGGGTATGTCAGAGGACTTTTCGAGGGAGGTATGTGCTTGTACTGTTTCTCAATCGACTTTCTGGTCTCCACCAAGCACCAGGTCAGAAGATAAGCCACTTCTGCAGGCATATCTTCCCGGACGAGAATAACAAAATCGGAGAAGTTCAAGGCTGGTAGATCTTGAGACATATTGGCCCAGAACCCCGAAGGCAATGGGTTGTCTCCAAGGCTGATGCTCTCCTCGAGATGCTTGAGGGCCTCTAGCTCCGCAGGCAGCGGCGACAATTTCTCTCCTTCAATAAGCTCTGCCCACCACGGAGTCATAATCGCTTCCTGAAGTAGGGAATCTGCTTCACCATTCTCCACAAAAGCAGTGCACTGCTCAGGACGGTGTGCTCGTAGTACCTTTCCACCCCATGACTCGATCTCATTCTGGGAGATTTGATGAGCCTCCAAGAACTTGTCCGCCACGAAGCCGATGAAGTTGGTTCCATCGTTTGTGGATGTTGCGAGTCTTATCGGTGGTTTTTGTTCCCGTAACTGGGCCATGGTCTTGATATTGTACTTCGGGTCAAGTGCCAGGACCATTCTGTCGTTCTGCGGCAGTACAGCGAGTGCTCGCAGATGAGGCATCGCCTTATTAAACAGATGCTTTCCTCCCAACGCGTTTTGCATGAAACTAGCGGGTGTTGCCACGGCCAAGTCGACTTCGCCGTCTGCAAGTTTGGTGATTGCCTCGATCCCTCCATGTCGTATACTCCAGATGGCAGTCCTACTTTCTGGACCAGCGCGATCGCAGAATTCCTGGGTGAGCCAGGAACAAATTCGATGGAAGTTGGCTTGTCCCCAGTCTCCTATGAAGTGAAGTTCGTATGAGATGGACAGCCGCGGTTCATCATGCGCAGATACCAAGAGGTTTTTGTGGTCTTCGGCGTCAGCCATCTTGTGATCTTGTACCGCACCAGTGCCAATTCTACGAGAAGTTTTTGGTTAGTCTACTTGGTTCAAAGGAATTGTCCCCTCAGTTGCATTTAATATATCCGTATTTTGATGATTCGATTAACAGTAGCATCAGGTTGTCTGTACTTAAATACCCGATGACATCCCGACAAGTCCCCTGTGGGACGAAACTTTGTCGCTGGAGAGGCTGTAAAATGACGGCTCCCGGTTCATTCTGTATCCGACTACCGAAATATTACCTGGACGTCTACTTTCGCAGTGCAATCCCTCAAAGTTGATTTCCTGACATCGGGTATATGGTCGCTATGATAAAAAGACCACGCAGATCACTAGAGACCGCCTGTGTATAATTATTCACGATTTCACCGACTTCCTTCACATTCCTTCCCGAACAGCGTGTAAACTCCACATGACCACAATGGACGTCGTCCAAGAGATTATTACTTCGTGGCCCAAAGATGAAGACACCTTGGAGGTGCAGAGAAGGGAGGAGTTGCTGTTTCAACAACCCAGTATGGGTCCGGTGAAGTTGAGGAGTCACGAACCGATCCAGGCAGTTCATTTTGCGTCCGCTTTCAAACCCATCAAGTTCGCACGGCCTGCTGGCATTTATGAGAGTCACCATCTCCGTGTCGAATGGCAGACGATGGCAAATTTTCGGCAACCATTCTACCACCGAAATGCAGACGTGGATGAATTGTCGTATCAAGTCTGTGGTACGCGGACCCTCATGACTGAGTACGGAACAGTCGATCTTGAGCCAGGAGACTTCACCAGGATTCCGGTCGGTGTTGCTCATGATAACTACGGTATCGACGACATCCACCTCCTCTTTTACATACCGGCTCCAGTCAAAGAGTGTGGTCCTATCGTACGACGGGCAGAGGCCCGCGATCTGCAATTCGAGGGCTGGGCACCAAAGGCCATCCCGGAGGTCATGACACTATGCCTTGGTGGGCCGGAATGTGACATTGCTGCATCTCTTGTCGACGAGACGTTGCTGCTGGAACATGCAAAGCATGTCGATCAGCACAAGCTCATCCCAGTCTTGCGCCCTCATGCAGAGGATAGAGGAACATCTTGGCTTTACAAGTCTGAATTTGTATGGGTTGGGCACACCGAGCGGAACCCAGGTGAACAGCCCGCCTATTATCGTCATCGCTTTGGTGACGAAATTCAGTGTCAGATTAGTGGAACAAGAACTGTGGTTACTCAACGCGGAGTCATCGACCTCGAGCCAGGAGACTATATCTGCATTCCCACTGGTGTCCCTTTCACTGATATTGCTCATGAGAAGACAATGTTCATCTCGATACTGACTCACCACGAGTCCCCGCCGGTCGCTCCAATCACGAAAACGGCACGTCCAGCGACATTTGCAGAAATCCAGAAGCTGAGAGGCGTGCATCTCAGGAATGGAGAATGAGCACAACTAGACTTCATCAACAATAAAACGCATAGTCTGGTATCTTTCAAGTGGCGATAAAGGCTTGTTTATTTCACAATTAACATACAAAAATCTGGCCTTCCTTCGATATTTGGGGCGGACGAATATTTCCGTAGAAGCTGCACCCAAGTGTTCAGAGCACCCACTAAATTCATTTAAGGTGTGCATTGTCGCTCCGTACACTGTGCTTCCGCCTAAGCTGATTCAATTGGCTTCGGATGAACCACATGGTAGGTCTCTATCTGCATGGCCGCAGATTGTTGGTTCTCACATGCTGGTGCCTCAGGTATCGACGACGTATCACGTCCCCGACGTATCCCCAGTGACTGCTTAGGGTGTTTCGTTACTCACGGATTGGAGAGCTAATGGAGGTCGCATGGGGCTTAGGTCGTCACACGCGGTTAAGTCGGGAATCGGCACGATCCTGGATCAGGTTAGGGGCTTACTGAGTGCTTTTAAGTAAAACCAAAGATTCGCTGTCAACAAGAATACACTACCGAGGAGAGATTCCCGAGCATAATAAGTCAGTACACTGAATATAATCTGTGCAGGATGGAAGACAACCAAATCACGCCGCATATGGAATCAATCTACCACAAATTGATACGGGGCAGTCATATCCTACACTATCACAATGTTTTGGACGCGTTCGGCCATCTCTCGTGCAGGCATCCCAGCAGTCCAGAAAGATTCATCATGTCACGGAACATGGCTCCTGGAACTGTATCCTCTGCAAGTGACCTAGTCGAATACTTGGTCGAGAGTGCGGAGGCTGTTGACCCCAGTGCTCCTCGGGGCTTCTTGGAGCGGTACATCCACAGCGAGATATACAAAAGGTACCCCGAAGTCCAGAGTGTAATCCATAGTCACTCGGAGGCAGTCGTACCGTTCAGTATCAATGGAGTTCCCATGAAGCCGTGCTATCACATGGCGGGCTTTCTTGGATCTGGTGCACCTGTCTGGGATATTGCCGACTCCTACGGTACCAACGATACCAGAGACATGCTAATATGCAACAATTCCTTGGGAAGTTCCCTAGCAGGGTCTTTCTGTAACTCCGATCAAGCGCAAACTGGGACTTTTCCCACTAATAGAGTCGTTCTGATGAGAGGGCATGGATTCACAGCATTGGCAGAAAGTATCGAGGCTTGCGTGATGACTGCGATCTACACACAAAAGAATGCCATGATTCAGACCACAGCAATAATCACACATGCCATGTACAATTCAGGAGACTCGAATGCTTGGCCGATATATCTTACCAAGGACGAAGCGAGAGACGCAACCCATACAAATTCGGGAGCAGTCCACCGGCCTTGGGATCTGTGGTGTAGAGAAGTCGAGGCGTGTTCTTTGTATCGGCACGACCCTCGAGACTAGGTAGTAGGTGGAAATATACAAAACCTATTGCCCTTACCATTGGCGCTCATTGTCTTTGCGATTGAGGCTCAGACAAGCTGGTCGTGTTATCTGCCTTCATGTTTCTCGATCGCAGTTCGGTCCTAATGCAAGATACAAATGCTCATTGCGGTCGAAAAATGAAGTTATGGCGATCAATGATGCTCATCAGTATTGTCGGAGTGTCTAGACTAATAAATACTTAGTGAAGTGGCTCAATCAATGGGATTTATCTTACTCATCAAACCAGACTGCGCCTCAATGTTCATTAAGGGTTTAGTGCAGAATCCGCAGCGCACGTGCTGCCCGGGGCGCTCCGGTATAGTACATATGTCTCCAGCCCTCTCACTCAGGCTGGAGGCTGACACTAGATATTGGATCGTGAGCTAGTTTCAGTTTATTGGGTAGCGATGCATTTGAATCACTTAAGGCGTCGATCTATCGATAAGTGGCGATGAAAAAACAGAGCTAAATCCTGATAGTACAAATATAGCGTAGGATGCTAAAATAAGCTGGACCAATAGGATGCTAACGCTAGTGATTATTACCCAATAAACATCATTATTAGTCGTACTAGCGGGTCCAGCCCGTAAAGTCTCTCAAGAAACGTTCTTCTCCCTCGTCTTCCTTACTCTTCTTCCCTCTAGTGAAGCGAGGTCTCGTCCATTGAGGCTGCAAAGCTGACCACCATATCGCCTGCTGGTGGGCTGGGCAACAGGAAGAAAATAGAATGGCGACAGAGCAGGCTTTTCTTGAAAATGTTTTTCTTCCCCATGTTTTGCGACTTGTTGTCACACCTGTACACACTGAAACGGTTGATCAAACCAACGTTTGACATTTTAAGGCTTGCGAATTGCTTTTATCTTTTGAATGCGAACTTGAACATTGAGTTAGCATCATTGTCGTACTCTGGATACCTTCTAGTCCCTCTCCATCCAATACGAAGTAGCTCTCGGGCAATTTCTCGGCTGGTCGCAACACATCCACGGGAGCCATGGCGCTCACTCACGACTACAATCCCCTCAGTGGAAGCGAGGACACCAAAGACGAGATTGACAGCAACAGCAGGCCGCCCGTGAGCATAGCATGGTCCAAATATATTCTATACATGCTGCTCGTGGCATGCGCTGGTTTTGGTGCAGCGTTTGGCACGGTTTTCGCCTTATCTTTACTTAGACCGGGGACGAGCGACACGACTGCATCTCCCGCCGCTACTACCACTTCTCTGTCCGCAGACACTGTACTGCCCACTGCCTCCGTCGAGCATCTGGCCGGCCAGGCCGATGAGACCAACCCGTTGGCGGGCAAAGTCCTCGATTGCGGATACTCTCCCACAGAAGCGCGGGCCAAGGGCTGCGTATACGATGTCATGATGCAGGATTGGGTCCCAGAACCGTGTTATGACAGCCTGTTGACAGAAAGATACCTTGCCAGAGGAAATTATACTTGGTATGCGGACATGAATGGGAATGTCATGCCGGACGAAGAAATGCGCAAGGGTGAACACAGCGCAGCATGGATGTCGGGAGATTACCACAAAGATCACTGTATCTTTTCTTGGGAAAAGCTCATCCGAGCAATGCGAAACAACTGGCCCATTAGCCAGGAGTTGGTGTCCTACGACCATGTCCTGCACTGTCAGCATCAGACTTTGGGGGAGGATGGCCATACTCACAAGCGCGACGGAGGTATTGGCGTCATGGCACCAACCAATTATGCCAAATGTGCACTCTACAGTACATGGAAAACGGATTTCATCCCAGATAAACATGCCGCAGACACTAAATAAGAATTAATAATCGACTTTATGCTAATGAGAAAAGACAACATTGGACCTCACACTCAAGAAGATCAAGGAAGGCGTGTAGATTCTCCTTGCGCGTCTGCTGACTTTGTTGCCGTCAAATATCCGTTCCATAACCAGGGACATCTACCCTCGCAGGTTCCGCTCAGCAAATTTCCTGGACAATCCTTGGCTCCTTGGGTTAATCTCTGGAGACTCAATCAATTGTGTGGGCTCATCGAATGCCCGAGAGCATGCCGGAACTCCTTCAACACTATGGCCTTATCGTGAGGTTTTGTCTGAGCGACCCGACTTTCTGCTCCGTCCCAACTTTTTCGGTATGAAGAATGAGGAACGAAATGAACAAAAACTTGCTTGAATTGTTCAGTCATCTTCGAGCACCTTTCGAATGTACCCGTTCAGAGTTCTTGGCTTTGTCCCTGGAAAGCATCCGTCGCCTTTGTCCTATGCCTCCGACAGAACGATCGCCATCCCTCACACTCTGTGGGATCAGAAACTCATCATCCCTGGTTGCTATGTACACAGTGTTCTAAGATGTTGATGTCCGAGTTTAGCCTATTCTCAAGAAACTCGTCCTACATTGGGGAACTTCGGTAATCTTGTTCGAAGTCCAGATTCCTGTACCGCTTGTTGGGCCCTTGAATGCTTCAAAGTCCATGCTCAGCTACACTTTTAAGTGAGATTCATAGAAAAAAAATTGGTTTGATTGGAGGTTTAATGAAAATAGAAATAATTGGCCCACCAAGAAAAGTTGTTTGAAGAAATGAAAAAATCCTTCAAGCCGCCGTCAGTTAAAATGCTATATCTAAACGCTCATTCAGATATGCTCCCCATAGAAAAGTTACATAAATTTGTCGCCCGCAGTAAGACGCTCTCCCCAGCGACGAAAATCTGCTCTGCCAGGAGCCTTGTTCCCCTTTTCTCTTTTAGAGTCATCATGGTATGCAGCGATCAGGCTTTGGTAAGAACCGCCACAACCTGTGAAATTTCACTACCTTAAGGCTGAATCTTGGTACCGCTATTATAGTCAGGGCCGTCGTAAAAGGTGTTGTGAAATAGGCCGCTCGCTATTTGGTAACATTGGAGTTGCGGTGATCCGTAAACCAAGAAGCCAAGGCAGTCGTTGTTTTGCCCACATAATTCTGCACACGAAGCATAATCGGCAATATTGGTAATACTTGAATAGCCGCCGGCCCCAGCATTCCAATCCTGGCCGCAGAGGCGATTGAACTGTGCGCCCGAGCTGGTCGTGAAGGGGTCGGTTTGGTCAGCACAAGTTCCTGTTATAGGAGAAAGCTTGCGACCGAGATCGAACCCAGCGTTACCTTGCACCCCGTTGCTGTCGGCGTATAATGTACAAGTTTGTATGGTTGTGGGGTCTGGATTGAAAGGCGGGTCGGCAGGAAGCTCTGTGAACTGGTACTGGGCGTATTGGCAGCTTGGGACATTGGCACATGACTCCATGCAGTCGGCAAAGGAGGCACTATTCTGAACAGATCCAATTTGGGTGTCACCAGTTTGAGTGTTGCATTCAAGCTCGAACTTGTCGTTATTGGCTGCTGTATAAGGACTCGATATGGCTGTATAAGTTGGAGAACTATTGGCGCTGGTAGTAGTAGTGGTGCTGGTCGTCGTGCTGGTTGTCGTGCTGGTTGTAGTTGTTGTCGACGTAGAAGTTGTAGTTGTGATTGTCATAGAAGTGGTCGTGGTGGTTGTGGACCCCATCGTTGAGGTGGTAGTGGTGGCAGGGCGAGAGATCAACATAACAGCCGTGTCGTACATTTTGGGGACTGCTCCGCCGTTTGAAGAGTCTTTCAGGTAACAGTGGCCCTCTTGTGATAGGTTGACCACGCCAGCAGCAGTTTGGTCAAACACAGCGGCGACACAAGCCGCATTATTATCACACATCGTTAGACATGCGTCGAAGTTCGCCACCACCGCATTGTTAAGGTCTCCACTAGCAATGTCCATATTATAGGCTTCTTGGTACCGACTTCCTTATAGACTAGTGTAGACGGATTGATCCACACATGATGTAGGCCCTGGAGTCGCAGTGGTGGTAGTGGTGGTGGTGGATGATGATGATGTTATGGCTGGCCCTGACATAACGGAAGCAAATTCATAACCCGTTTCAGAGAAGATAGGTTCACCGACTGACGCTGCAAGATTGCAATTGCCATTGTCCAACACCATAAATTCACAGCTATCTGTGGTAGAGTATGCATCCACACAAGCCTCAAATGACATTGGTCCCAGCTGAGCAACGAACTGAGTAATTGATTGAGGGCGTTGACCATAAGAAAGTGAAAAAGTTGCACCGTTGGGGGCAGTAAATGGATTGGTCAAAGCTTCACATGAGCGCGTGGGCGCTGAAGATATTGTGATTAAAGAGACAGTGCTTGAAGTCATGCTGGTTGAAGACATACTCATTATTGTTGTAGGCGGAGGTGTAGTTACGATCCTGAACCAGACGTTCCAGTAAGAGCTGGATGATTGCGCATCTTCGTTAGTCGTTGTCTTGAGGTTACAGCCGTTAAATTCGGGCCCGATTGGTGTAGTCCACCCAGCGCACCCAGTTAAGCCGTTACACACGGTAGCACACTCTTTATAGCTCTCTGTCTGTGCCGGTCCAAGGTCGTTACCTTGAACGTCTACATCCGGGCAGATGTAGTAGTCATAAGCTCCACTAGTGAATTGGAATTCGGTATCATCGTAATATCCGGCTATCGAGGTAGATGTTGGGGCGGTGGACGATGTCGTCATCATAGAATATATGGTGCTGGAGCTTGTTATAGAGGCTGCCGTTGTGATCGACATGGTGCTTATTAGCGTCGATTGACTGGTCGTAGTCTCCGAGACAGTAGAAGCCTGTGTTGATGTGGTGGACTTAGCTGAACTGCTCTCCTCAGATGAAGTTGTGGTCTCTCCGGACGAAGTCATTTGGCTCGAGGCAGCTATGCTTGTCTCGCTTGATGTGGTGATCTCCCCGGTTATTGTTAATGTACTTAGGCTACCGGTGGTTGTCTTCATTGACGATGTACCTGTAGCTAAACTTGTCACTAAGCTTGTGGTCTGTGAGGTCGACGACATCGTGGTGGATGAAGAGGTTGATACCGATGGAGGAGCTAGAGTTCTGTCAGCATTTGGCGCCCGAGACGAATAATCGAAGAACATACCTTGTTGCACTAGATTAATGGGCTGTGCACAGGTGGTCTGGTCGATGACCACGTAAATAGTGCTCCCATAGAGGCAGAAACCTCCTGCACCCTGAACCTGGCCGACCCCAGCAGGGAAGGTCCAATACTTGAACCTAACCGGTGGGTTGGCAGACTTGATGAGCGGTGTATCTGTCAAATCACTGTTACTTCCCACTAGCTCGTTGTCCGTGACCAGGAAATCCCCATATAGATAAAAGATCGACGCCGAGGATTTTGTATCAGTCAAACCGGCTTGATCACTATCTTCGAAGGTGACATAGCCCTGTGTTTCTGCCCTTCGACGTTTTGTTGAAGTGGTCGCAGTAACCTGCATAATAAACCCTGAAGGGAATGGGATCGATGTAGAAGAAGAGGCTGTCGCGGTTGAGCTTTCACTGCTGGATGCAGAGCTTGTAATAGTGGAAGCAGCCGAGGTGGTGCTGGATGAAGACAATTAACTTGTTGAGGTAGCCTGCGATGACGATGCTTGTGAGGTCGAGGTAACAGTGGAAGATTCTGAGGTAGGCACTGAGGTGCTGACTAGAGAAGATGTCTGTGAACTCGAGGTGGACATACCAGAAGAAGTCGGTAAGCTGGAAGTCGAAACTTGGGAAGAAGTTGATAGTTCTGAAGAGGTCGACGGTATAGAGGATGTCGCTATTCCGGAGGAGGACGAGCTGGAAGTAGAAGAACCAGGAGTCGACACAGCCAAGGATGTTGAGATAAGGGAAGATGTCGAGACAAGGGAAGATGTCGAGACAAGGGAAGATGTCGAGACAGGGGAAGATGTTAAAATAGTCGAGGACGATGATCCCGAGGTACTCCCAGTTGAATAACTTGATATAACGCTGGTAGATGTAATGGATATAGTCGTTAGGGATGACGACGGAGTGGCTGACGACGATCTAGATGATTGAGAGCTAGTGGCTGAGGCTGTGACCGTAGACGAAGTTCCGCTGCTTGTTGTAGTAGCCGATGAGGTCGTAGAACTTGATCCTGTATCCAAAACAAGGTAAATTGGATTTTGGCAGCTGCCGGGCTCGACATATGCCGCAACAAAGTTACTAAATGAACAAAAGCCAGCCGAACCTCTAAGCTGGGCCAACTTTCCGATAAAGAACCAAGTTTGTAAGCCAACAGGCATGTCTGTGAATAGCTTGACCGCGGAGATTGAATTATCCGAAATGGTACCTAGATATTGGTTATTCGAGACGAACGTATCGTTGTTAGCTCTGAATATTAATGCTGCTGAGTCTGAGCCCTTCATAATGACACTAGTGTTGCCGTTGTCGAAAGCGAGGTAGTGTTGAACTGTATGCTGCCTTCGAACTAAACTAGTCGGTGTTGCTTGGATAAGAAGCCTGAATCCGGCGCCAGTGGTGGTAACTTGGCCTACTGTGCTGGATGAAGAACTGCTAGACAAGCTGCTGGACGAAGCACTACTTGCTGAGGAGCTACTGGAGGAGGCGCTGCTTGCCGAGAAACTGCTGGATGAGGCACTGCTTGCTGAGGAACTGCTGGATGAGGCACTGCTTGCTGAAGAGCTGCTGCTAGAACTGGAAGCCTGGATGCTGGTGGGGTTGTTAGAGCTCATTGACGTAATGGTTGAGCTGATGCTTGTGCTAAGGCTGGTAGTCACAATAGAGCTGGACAAGGTTCCTTATAGTGGGTTAGCTCAATGGCTTCGGGAATGATCGTTAATTGTCAGCTAGGCTCACCTGAAGACGTGGACCATGGTTTACTGGTAGATGTTACAGATTCAATCGGCGGTTTTGTTTGTGTCCAGTCTGCCCAGGTCGCTGGAGGTTTACTAGTGCTGGTAGGTCCATTAGGGAAGATAAAAGGTGGAACAACATAGATAATAACTTTAGTGATGATAATGTCAAACTTAATTATCATGGGTTGAGCGCATTTCCGAGTAACGGTGGCAGTCCAGTCTCGGCCTGGGAAAACTGCAGTTGTAGCAGCGTTAGTGCTAACAACAACACTACCACCCTAAGTATGGGTGACCGTCTGAGGTGGGACATAAATAGTAGTTGGAGGTGCTCTTTGTGGGAATTCGAAGACATAAACACTAGCAGAAGGGACTGATGTATGCTTTGAGTATACTGCAGATGCAGTGTTGGAGAAAATGGCCTTTGGGTTGTAGACCTAGACTTTATCAAATTCGCGGCATATCGTTGGCTTGTTGGCGGTCTGCTGACACTTGATGACGTCGAGGTTCTGGAGCTTCTGTCCATGAGGCCCATTGCACTTATCGTAAAGGCCGCTACCTCCATAACCAGGGATGGCAAGAGGACCCAATTGGTTGTACGGTGCATTCCACTCTTTCATTACCGTTGTGTATGCAGAGACGGTAGTTACGTGGGTGAAACGTCTCTTCCACTTTGTTGTGACGGTAGAAGTAACATATGTATTGGTGATGGTACTGGAAGCTCGCGAGACCAGAACGTTTTGATCCGTTTTGGTAATGGTAGAGACAGTAGATGAGGGCAATGCATATGGACAAGGAATGACGGTAGAAACGAAGTCCCATATTGAATACGAGTATTGGGTCCAGCATTTAGTCTTGATGCAGATCTAGTCCTAAGGCGAACAGGTGGACACCGGCTGATACTAAGTGGTGACTGTGATGGGAGTTGGTGTCTTCCATTGGTTAGGAGAAGGACAAGGAGTGATTGTGGTGAGTGTGCTCGTTGTGGGCTGTCCCCATGCGTCCGCAAGAGCTGCGCCAAAGCTCCCTGCAAGGAGCAATCCCGTGATGGGATTAAACATGATGCAAAAGAATGACTGGGGTCGGATAGGGTGCAAAAATAACAAAAAAAGAGCGACTGAGGAGAGAACTTGACTGCTGTGCTATTATCTGCTCCTTTATACAAGACAGTACCTGTGAAAACGGTCCCAAATGATCCCAAAACAAACTTCAGTTATACGCTGACATGATAGGCGTGATCATGATTGCGATTCTATAATAATCAATCATTTCTCAACTCGTCTAGGGGCAAACAAGGTTAGCTCCACCGCAATACATTAAGAATGAGTGATATAGTAAATTTATTGTTGGTGCAAGACAGGCCAATTGAGTGGGCGAGGCCTAGCAATCTTCTCTGACGGGCAGCATTGATGCTGGTGGAAGTTAGGCTTTTAAGGCATCGGAAATCTGGGTCGAGCCGAGATCTACTCCTTATAGGCGAGGGCGGATGCTGGAGTATAGTGAAGATGCTACTGACAGTCATTAGACTCGCTTGATAGTGGTATGGATCCATAGATCGCAAAAAGAAACCAGGGGATTGGCTTCTGAAATGAATGAGGCTGTCTGTCAGTGTGCTAATAACGACGTTGAAGTTCGCACACTTGGTTCAGCCGTGAGGTAAGCACTGTGTGAGTTTTCATTGGGAAATCTTGCACCTATGTACGACGATTGGCCTCGTGGTCTGAGGTCTTCTTGGCGACACACATAATTTCTGGGGTTATCTGATCTACACATTCTTCGGTAGTTTAATCGGCATTGATGCGAATAGGGAGCGTAGAGTGGCTCGTGGTACGGAGAAAGAATCCTTGGTATTTACGTGTGGCATTCATCTTAGCCTTGTTCATAAGTTAGGGAGCTGGCTAGAACGCCAGAGGCGACCATTTTTCCACTGGCAGGTGTCTTAAGAACATTGACGGTGTGTGGGTGGCCAAGGTTAGGGGTCTAGCGGCTTGAGCCATCTGTCACTGGGGCTCTGATGGCTCCGGGATCGAGGATAGTGGCGCGAAGGATATCATGATACCTTATTCGGAAGGTAAAATGTGATATAGTGTCAAGCGACTCTCCCTATCGTAACTCCTGCTGTATAGGTAAGAACGCACTGTTTCTTGGCCTAAGAAAACATCGATTATGTTATTATGATATTTCCTTGTAAGTCAACTTGTGGAAATATTTCTTTAGGTTTGCAGTGATCTTCGACTATAGTATTACTAACTAGTATAAGACCAGTAATGTTATTTCTTTATCATAAAGAGAAAGTTTATTTCGATCAATGAAAACGCAGTCTAACGAGTTCTCTTAAGCGGGGTAATATCATTCTCTTAAATTACTTGACGTGCAGAATACGTAAAGGTAGCGCTGGGTAACAGGAATCTCGTATTTAGATATCATCAAAATACGTAACAGATGTTTGTGCTGTATATGCGCCAAATTTGCTTCATGCCTGGTATCAACCTACACGAGCATAATCGAGATTCATATACCGTCGAACGGTAACACACTAGAGGTATCGAGAGATGATTTAGAAAACAAGAGTTAGCTAACAAAAAAGAACTTATCCCACTGACATCGAAACCGCGTTTGCGGACTAACTGAAATTGTAGATCGGCTTTCGCTGCATCATTGCCCTAATTAGTGACGTGAGAAAACCACTGGTGAGCAAATAAACTAGTGACATTCTGGTTAATAGTAAGGCTGAGTGTTTAAGAGCTCAACAGAAATGATGGTGCACGTATTGAAGCTGACGGCTATAGAGTTGGGTTCGCAAAGCCTACTCAATACTGGGTAACTGGTACTGAATCAAGCGACCACCACTGTAAGCGACCAATCACTCTAAGAAAGCTGTGAAGAACTAATAACTTTGCCATAGTCTAATTTATAAGGATCTTGAATGATGGTCGCAACATCGCACAACACTCTCTGCAGCTTGCTAACACCAGTCACCAATAGCACAATAATTAATATCTTCAGATCAGCGAACCGAAACATGGTTTGGCATTGGCACCATGGCTCTAAAAGAGTCAGTTTCATAAAGGCCTGTCCGATTTTGACGCTCGTTAGTCGTCACATCGCATGCTATACTACGGCTAGATGCCGATAATTGTTCTTCGCTATCTGAGCTATTGTGATCTGTTCAGCGCTCACTCCACGAAGTGTATGATTTCGTGTTGTCGTTGCTTGAAGTCGATTAAAAGGCATGATGCTGGCTGCGACCAGAACCGATATAGGTACGTTATCGAACTTTCGCGGCCCCTATTGGGTTTCTAGGAGAGGCTTAACAAAAGCAAATTAGTTACCGATAATTAACCCGCTACATATGACCGCCAATTAATTTTGGTCGCCGCAGGAGTTCACTCGCAGCTAATGAGTACTGACACTCTAAAATCCTCGGAGCGTACATGATTGATTGATGATTTCACTTGGCAATGTAAGTGGCATGGTCAAATGTTATTATAGCAAACCAGCTTCTTTCCAAGTCCCGTTATCTCGCGGATATAAACAGTATGCCGATCTAAAATTAGCAATTGAATACGTGTAATATACCTCTCTCATCCGGCTTACTGTCCTTCAATAGAAAGACCGTTATATATAAGCTGTTACTTCGTGACTCCCTTCCCTTATACTATCAGATTATCGCTGTCCATTACCGAGGACAAAGAGCGAACTCGAACCCACAACTATTGAATACCAAGTATGTCCGAGAATGGCAAAATCATTGAGGATGACAAGATAGTCGATTAGCGAGATCCTCTCAGCGAAGAATAACAAGAGTTTAGCAAGATTATGAGTTCTTTGGAATTGGATCCAATGGGGGTAGTCTGTCTTAGTAAGGATGGGGTGTTACGATTATTGACGGCGGATCGCGATGTCATTGATGCTGTTGCACTTGCCCCGAAACACATTAAGGCAATGCTCGACAGAATGCTGTTTAGCCAGGAAGCCGAAAATATTTGGCGAGGTGTGGATGGCACTACTGTGCCCAAAGAGTAGTGGTATAATCCAGACAAAGACGATCTGCCGCCACCGTTGAGTGAAGAAGAGAAGGAAGAGGTAAGGACGATGATGGAAGAGAATAAGCTGGACGGAACACCCCAGGAAGGGGCCTCGAGTTGCTGTGGCCCAGCCATGATGTCGGATCACAAAATTTTGAAGCCATAAGTATGATGGAAACGCCGTATTTCTCATGCCGGGTTGTTTCCCTCGGGAAGCAGTCTGACTTAAAACACCTGCCAACCTGATGTCATCGGGCTGGTTCCGCCGACATGAGCTCTTACCTACGTATCAGCCACAATAAACTACTCATCTGTACCAGCAAAATTAAGCTTGGGAAAATGATGAGGTGATCCAGTGCCGAATAATGCCTGCCTGTCAGGTGGACACCCCTTAGGAAGACAGGGCCCCTTCTTTTAGCATCGCTCCCACGATACCCCAGAAGACGAACTACTGTATATCTGCGATTTCACGCCCCAAGACCTCTCAGCCTGGGAGCAGAGAACATGTTCCAAGGTTGGAAGTGTTATCTTTCGTTTTCTAAAAATGCCCCGCGCGTATCCCATGGTTAAAGAGTAGACTCTTTTGGAGCATTCGAAATCAGGTGCTTCGGGACCGACCAAGGCCGCTTCTAGGCTTTGGAGGATTTGATTGTTTGCTGTTGTATGGCTTGGCAATGTTGTCTTGTATAGCATTCGACCTGTTTCTACAACGATAGCGTACTGTAATATCCTTGGCTTGGGCTTGAATATGCAAGAAATGGAGCTCGAGTCACTGTCTTGCACTCCGGTCGAAAGGAGTTAGTGCGGACATATAGAAGGCACTGTACGGTAGCATAGCTCTCTGTTTAAGCGAGAAAGATCTTAAGTACAGTAGTTATCATGTCGAATCATGCTATTACTACCAATACCACCCATAGCTCTGAGAATATCTTTCAGACGCATTATAAACTACCACTTTCACAGCTTCCTAACATCGCAGCACGCTATCTACATGAAGGACTCCGTGGGGCACGCGTTCGGTTGCTGATGGTATCTTGATGGTGGAGAGCGGGCATTGACTAGAGAAGTATCAACGAGCAGGCCTTGCACACTACACGTACTTCTTATACGGTACATCTGGACTTCATGCAGCGCACTTAACCAGTGGCTATTTAGCTGGGGCGGCTGGGCGCTTGACAACCCCGGTAATAGTAATTCAGCTGGAGCAGAACGCGGATTGGGCGGATGCTGCGGATTAAGTCACTGGCGGTGGCGTCCACGATGTAACCATACATCGACACAGACGAGTCTTCATTGGTAAATAGAAGCACAGGAGGGCTGGGGATGGCCTGATAAGTACAATAGACAGAGAATAAATGCTATGATTGTTAGTAGGGATATCTAACTCATACTTAAACGCTGTATAGCTGCCACTTAATTGGCGGCTGGGACAGCCTATGGCGTTGAAAAAAAGAGTTTAGCCAAAACTCGCCAACTAACGTAATGTAGTGGCCAGTACGTGTTTTCTGCGGCGGAAACTGTGTGGGCAGTCTGTTAGATCTTACCCACTCGGTATTTCCCATTTCAAAGGATGTTGTTATATATATCCAACCTAAGAGTGGACATGGCGTACATTTCGCAGTAAGTCCTGTTTCGACTTGTTGGCACTTTGGAATTGGTTGGTATCCAATCCGCAGCTAAATGCAACTGATGCCTTATTTGTCATGACAAGCTTCTTGAAAAGAAATCGCGTGGCCCGCTCCGATGAAGTGTGTGCATGCAAAAAGCCAAACGGTAAGGTCTTGTGCACCGCCGTTGAATCTTGCTGTAACAAGAGAAAGACGGTCTGTACTTTCGAGATCTGATAGACTCCGCTGAGCATAGAAAACGATTGTCCTACTGGACCGTCTTCGTAAGAGGCAGGAGCTGTACAGACTGCTGGTTCGCGTGTAATTTTCGCAAGACAAAAAGGTTTGTTCCAAGTGACTTGGTCAGTGAGAGAATGCGGGCGGTGTCAAACGGCCACGAAGCTTTGCTCCTCATGTCCAATAATGCTGACAACTCTCACCTCTAATTGACTTGCCGCATTCATCTATAGGCAGGCAGTTGAGGAGATCATTGATTGCCACGTTTCTCCACCAAGCGACGACGTACCCCCCACTGAGCTGTTGTCCTAGATTTTCGTGTCTGGCCGATTTCGCCGAGTCAAAATCGGAGGATCGGCCGTGGCCTTTGCAAATCCCTTGACCTCCCCGACAGTCTACATTTCGGAATCCACAATCGGCCACATTCTCGCAGGCATGGACCAGGAGAAGGGCAAGGCCAACTCACAACCATGAAACAGATACTTTCGAAGGTATAACTTAGCGACGTACTCCCACCCGAAAGGCGGAGCTATTCGGCTGGTGGCTTCTGAGCCTCAAAATATTCGCAATCGTTGCCAGGTCGCTGGATGTGCCTCAAGGTTTCATTGTGAAGTATCTCATTCTTTGCCGGGCCGCAGTCTACACAAGGGAAATCTAGTGTTAAGGACTTCTCGTCAAATCATAGAGTCACCAATTTGCAGATTCTCGTCATATTCCACAACCGTGTACCTTGACGTTCAAACGAACTGTACATCATGGCAGAGACGAAGGGGTCGCCGCTCGGGCTCTACATAGCACTTCAGAGTACTGGCTTGGTCGAGGTGGCTTTTGACCCGGAAAAGCCCCTCGAAGAGTCCATGTCCGTCACTTCGACTTGTACAAAGGCCGGTTACAAACCAAACTGGGTTCTCCCGCACAAGGACAAAGTCTACAGTGTCAGTCGGACCAACTTTCCGTACAAGGGATCCTCTTCTGGTGGTATTCATGCATTCAGAAAGGGCGGGCCTCGAGCTGGTCTGGAGCCCATCAACCACGTCTCCAGTCGTGGTGAAGGAGGCTGCCATCTTGAAGTGAGCCCGGACGGCAAGGCAATAGTCGTTGCCAACATTACTGGCTCTACTATCACCGTATGCCCACTGGCAGATGATGGCAGCATCGGTGAACCCACATTCGTGTTCGACTACAACAAGACCGATCCTAATGATGTCGAAGCCCATCCTCACCAAACGTCCTTCGACGAATCTGGACGATTTATCATTTCGACGCTTCGTACCATGGACAAAGTGGACATTTATCGGTACAATGGTCCCAGCGATGTGAAGTTGGCGAAACGATTCGCCTTGCCAAAGAAAGTGGCTGGACCCCGGCATTTTACGACTTGGACCACGGGACCTACTAAAATGTATTTGTATATCGTTAGCGAAAAGGAGAATTCAGTCCGGGTCTACACCGTGGACACAAGTTCGACTGAAATTGCCGTCGAGCTAAAACAAACTCTCTCGACAATGGGCAAAGACCTGCCGTTGACAGATTTTGGCAAAGACTTCGCGTCAGAGATCAGCATTAGTAACGACCGCAAATTCCTATATGCCTCCAACAGAGGCCTGCAGAATCTAGAGAACGACACCATTTCAGTATACGCCGTGAATCAGGACCCAGCCAACGACGAGCATCACCTGACCTACATCGACACCCAGCGGATATACGGCAAGCACCCCCGTAGTTTCTCGCTCTCACCTGACAAGGAAAATAAATGGGTGGCTGTGGCCAACCAATTTAGTCAAGACATTGTCATATTCGAGAGAGACGAAAAGACCGGTCGTCTAGGGAATTTGAGAGGCAAGCTCAATGTAACGGCTAGCTTACCGCCTCGGTCTCCTCTAGACCAAGTAACGCTGAAGAAGGAGGTGAATTGGGAAGGCAGCGTCAACCTGCGCGACATTCTCCAGGGGCGAGAAGGAGGGCCTGTATGCGTGCAGTGGAAGTAGGGTGGAACTCATATGGCTTAGTAGGTAGTGGTTGATAGTGCGATATCTTGGTAGCTTGTAGTGCACAGATCAACCATAGTCTCAAGTGGTCAGCACCATTCGGTCATCTCTACGGATGTTCAGAAGGAGTCTAGTATAGGCGACAGCTGCACCGCTTCTGGGTATACCATAAGCAACCACTGGGGACTACAACAAGAACTTACCTATGCTCAGAGTACTCATATGCCTCTACCGGTGCCGTGATGGGAGCGGTATGAAGCAGTTTCAATGCCATCTCCGGTGTTCGGAACTTCTAAACGGCTCGAGGGTCATCTAAAACAACGTAGGCGACTTGCCAGTCTTGTCGCATGACCAAAAGGGACCCTCCTCAAGCATAAATTGTGAAGATGACGGCCGACACTAAGAAAATGCCCTCGCTCGCCATTCTGGATGACAATCTCTCAGTGTCCCCAGCACACTTCAGTCACATCCCATCTTCGTCCCTCAGTATAAAGGTATTCAAGAATGCTATGCCACTCCGAACTCCTGAGGACGAAGCAGCCCTGATCAAAACTCTAAAACCATTCGTGATCATCTCCACGATGCGCGAAAGGACATCATTTCCAGGATTTCTGCTTCGCCAGCTCCCCGATCTCAAGTTGCTCCTCTGCACAGGAACTCAACTCGAGACATTCGACATGGAAGTGTCCAAAGAATTGGGACTTCCTGTCGAGGACGAATACGGTGAGAAAACCTTCCAAGTAGTCTCAAAGAAGACTCTTCTCCAGACTGCAGATGTGATTACGATACACTACGTCCTTAGCGAGCGATCCAAGGGGATCGTCGCAGAAGAGGAGCTGTCCCTCATGAAGCCGACTGTGGTGTTCGTCAACACTTCCCGCGGACCTCTCGTAGTGGAAAGGGACCTGCTAGATTGTGCGAGCCACGGGAGCATCGCCGGTATCGCGCTCGACGTCTTCGATCAAGAGCCCTTGCGGTCTGACTCTCTCTGCTGCTCACATGATTGGGCCAAGGATGGGAGTAGCAGAGTCTTGCTGAGCCCGCACATGGGCTATGTTGAGACAGATGTCATGAACGACTTCTATGCTGGTCAAGCGGAGAGCGTTGAAAGATGGCTGGAGGGCAAGGAACTGGAGGATCGGCTTGTCTAGCTTTGCAGACAGCTGAATGTGACGGATGGAACAAGTCAGCAATTCGGGGCCCGAGTTGTGTACCCACAATTTGTTTGATGTTCTCTCGTATTGACTATGTAGATTCAGCCACGGTCACGAACACGCTGCCTAGTAAACTGGGAAAGATGCGCTTGCAACTCCCTGAACCTTGCAATATGAAGGCCCTGGAAATACGAGGCCAGTTTTCGGCATTACCAAGAGCGAAAGAGAACGTTGGGTGAGAAGTGTATCAGACAACAATCAGCATTGGATTATGTAGCATCGGGAAATACCCTGAGAAATTGTTCGACCCCTTACTAGCTGTTTCGTTCATCACAGGTAGTACGTAAAATCTGGATGACGATCTCCCAGACCCTCAGGATCCAGCGATTCCACTTGCACAGATTGAGAATCGTTGCGAGCCTCGACCTTCTTCTTGTTGTGCGACATGAGATAAAATCTCAATCCGGCCACAAAGCCGAAGCCTACGACGGCAGATCCCAGGGCGAATGCATTGCCTCGGCGGTATAACGGCTTGTCGCTGTAGATTTGCGCAGCTACAACAACAAAACACTGTCCGACCATACCTTGGATGGCGAACAACCCCGCCCTGGCATTACGCGTTAGCACATACCCGTTTCGACACGAAGGTTAAGTTTCTTACCTCCTGGTGAAACCGGTGATGTTACTGGTGGTCCAGGCGCTGAGCAGGATGATTCCCGGGAACGAACCAATGCTGATCAAGAAGCAGCCGGCAAGACGAACACCCTGCACCGAGCTCGCCAGCAGGAGGATCCAGCCAGCCCCATCAAAGGACAGACATGCAAGGAGGCAGATTGCTCGTTGCTCCAACCAATCCGAAAGGTAGCCGAACGACACAGTGGAGATGGCCCCAGTGCCAAATACAGCAACGGCGAAAAGCTGCGTGTCCAGTGTCGAGTAGCCGAAAGACTTGATGATGACCGGGAGAAAGATAGACAAGCAGGCGAAGTTGATCTGGACGTAGCAGAATATGGCAGCTAGGCTTCTCGTTAGCCATTATAGTGGTCGGAGGGAGCAATATGGGTAAACTTGCTCATGAGGTAGGCCTTGACATCCGTAAAGAGCCCGAGCAGGTGTTTGGGACGGATCTTGGCTTCGACTTCGTTGTAGGCCTCCTTTGTCCTGCGAAGTGCAATTTTCCTCTGCTCCTCGGTCCAACCCCATTTGAGCCGTTCAGGCACAGGTGGGAGGAGGAAGAATATAACGACCCCAAAGCCGATAGTGACCACGCCTGTATCTCCGAGTCAGTAGCCAACGCAAGAATCATCGGCAAATGTCTTGATCTTATTCTCTCGTACCTTCAATGAGGAAGATCCACTTCCAAGCAGGAAGTCCATGTGCGCCATTCAGATTCTTGAAGATGCCATAGCCGACTAGACCGTTGAAGGCACCGGCCAGCGCTGAAGTCGAGAAGAACCAGGCGCCACGTGTCGCCAACTCGTTTCGCTTGTACCAAAGAGAAAGGTAGATGACACCTGCCTGAAGGAAGGCTTCTCCCATGCCCACGCCAAATCGCAAACCCGCGAGAGCGGAATAAGAATTCGCGGCGGCGCACCTAGCTATGGTCAGATGATTCCACATTTTCACACATCGAGTGCCAGACATACGAGGCAGTGAATGTTCCCCAGACACATAGTGCTATCCCGAGCTGAACGGGTGGCGTGACGACTCGCAGAAAGATGTCTCCAGGCAGTTGAAAGACGATGTAACCGACAGAAAACAACGAAACGATCGTACTGAGTTGGTGGGAGCTAATGTGAAGTTCCTCCGTCAAGCCAACGGATGCGGCAAAGCCAACGTCGCCGCGATCCTAAATTCGAAGTCGAGTTGAATAATAGTTGGGTACGATGCGTAGTGGGTGTTGTGCTCACCAGAGATGCTAAGAAGTACATGACCGACAGCAACGGCAGGATCCAGAGGTCGATCTTGCGCACGAAGCGCCTTTCAGCCTTGAGTTCTTCAGGGGTCTTTGGTTGCTCGGCGTGGAAAGCATGGTTTTTGGGTTTGATCAGGACATCCTCAGCAGCCACTCCAGAGAAGATCTCGAGCTGCTCAAGTTGCGCACTGGTCTCCTTGACTTTAGGGGGGATAGACATGTCTGCTTGCCGCAAACTGAGGAGACGGGAGCAAGATGCTGTTTGTGCTGCCTTGGCAATGGCTCCAGGTCTTCGTAGGGGCTGTTGTGGAGAGATCTCTGGGGATATCAGAGAAAGAGAATAGGTAAGATATATGCTGTTGAGCAAAACGCCTAGAAGGTCCGGCTAGTTTAATCGCAATTGCTTCGTAACCCTCATTGGCGAGTACTGCCCGGAGTATCGGCCACATTGACTTTTCCGCATGATACCGAAAGCGAGTCTAGCCAGCTCCAATACTCTGGTTTTGACCCCGGATGGGGAAGGAACGAGGGGACCCATGGGGCGAGAGATTGACTGTTTCGGCCTATTCGGCCACCACGTGTGGCAGTATCGTTATTAATTTTTGGTCTGGACAATAAGGCACGGACGTTCCGGGCTGGAAACCAAGTAGAGCACCACATCTCATCTTTGATGTGGCCATTCCTGTCTGGTCTGCCCAGCCAGCAAGCTTATCTTGTAATGGCGGAGATTGTTTCTTTGTTGCAGTGCTCGGGTTCGGCTCTGGAAGATGCAAACAGTAGACTACGCTCCCTGCCAGTGACTGGAGTCGATAATACCTGAGGTTCTAGATTGCGGGCATAGGCCCTGCGTTCTCGTCACCCTACTACGACAGCGGGTACATGTAAAATCAGAGCTCACACCTGGCTGCAACCGATCTCAAGAGTGGACTCAACAAGGATGGTTTTTGTTATTGCTACGTCTGCGCAGGCCCAGCCCAGACTCTTTGGGGAACGAAAACAGTTCCCGTCATGATCCGCCTTGATGTCCGCTCAAGTGACAATGTTTCATACTCTTTGCCCTTCGCTCTCGCCTCTTTGCTGCTCCTCTTTACATGTACAGGCATCGCTCCTGCTGGGTGGCTAATCCGCAGCACGTTGCTCCGCTTGCTGCTATCGCTCATCTGTTTCGAGACTACTGATCCTTCCACACGGCTAGCTGCCGCCAGGCAGACTGCTCCAGTACCGGGCATGGTGTCGTGGCAGCGGTTGGAGAGCATGACTCGGGCGGTGATGTCGACATCGTCGCGGGATGGAGGAGCTACCAAAATGACAAAGGGCAAGCCAGGACATTGCTCGTCCACGAGTTCCCAGTCTTTGCACTGTCCGATGAGCTGCGTACCCTTTCCGCGAAGTTCTTTGAGACTGGCCACCGCTCCGCTGTTTTTCGTGATTTGGCCGGCTGTCTCTGAGCCGGTCAATCCAACATCTATTGCGCGGACGAAGATTGAATAATTTCCTATGTCGCAGATGGAAATCTCAACATCCTTGCCGTCCACTATGATATGGTCAATCACGTTACCCGAGGGTAGAAGGCCCCTTGCAATGTGTCCTCCTAGAGTCTGTAACGTATTAGCACCGTAAAAGGCCGGGTTGCTACTGTTGAGTATACTAACATTACTGTAGTCCATCAATATCGGCGAACCTGTGCCCAGAACTCCTGCGATACGTGATCCACCTGTAGCGAGTGAGTATCCGGTGGTCGGATCGACCACAATGTGAGAAATGAGGATGCTCTTCGTGTTGGTGTTGAAGATGCGGACTTCTCGTGCTGTCAAGCTCTCGTCAGTGCTGTACCCTTTGCGGACAATTTTGACAAGTCCCTCGTCTAGAGCGAAAGGACCGACTGCTGAAGATATGTTTCCACAGTTGCCTTGGTAAGACACTTTGTCTTCATCAGGTAAGACCTGGACGAAAGTAAAATCGACGTCTGCATCTTCGCGGCTGGAGGGGTTGATAAGAGTAATTTTCGAAGTGTGCGTTGTCGCCCCGCCCATGCCATCGATCTGGTGTGCATCAGGTGTCCCCATCAATCGCTTGAAAACCGTGTCTCTGAGGGGTCCCGGAGCAGGGAGATCCTTTTCGTAGAAGAAAAGGGCCTTTGATGTCCCACCACGGATATAGGCGCAGGGGATCCCATACTGGTCAACATGAGCCATGATCAGGAGTCTTGGATAGAGTGAAGAATGCACGAATCCTGGACTTGGCCAGTTTCAAGGTCCGGAGGGTTTGCCAGGATGCATAACTACATGCTCGGTCACGATCGGCCAAGCACATGACGCTGTGTTCGCTGGAAGGCCGGAGTCGGGTTCGGACGGCCAAAAATGCGTCTGTGCTGCCTCCATGGTTGAAGTCGAATTATCCAAAGTTGTGGCAAATGAGTGGTGCCGAGTACGTTCATCCGGATAAAAACGAGGTTGGCTGTTTGGTTGTGTGCTGCCGCTCGTGCTCACGACCAGACAATAGGTGGATCTCGGCATTCGTAATGGACATTCGGACGCGAAGCTGTTGACGGGGACGCCGAGTGCTCGCCGACGTCTTCCGTATAGCTGCAATACTTCAGTAAATGGTTTTGGTACATCTATGAGCGTCCGCCTGCGCGGACTATCCGTATTATCGGCTTCGACCAAGTTTGCTTCCGTGAGATTGATTAGCTTAACCCTTTTGTTTCACTGATACTAGCGGGAGACGCAAGAACTTTGGAATCCGAGTGCAGAGAAAGATGGTCGCCAAGGGAAAAGATATGACGCTCGAGGCGATTGCTGACTTCGTCGTTAAGACACAGGAGGAGGAACCCCCTTCCGATGCCATCGCAATCGCCACGCATGTCCTGCTAGACACGCTCGCCTGCGTCTACGCAGGCATGCAATGCCCCGGAGCTCGAGCTGCAGCTTCCATTTCAGACCTACCATGCAGCCCAAAGGACGCGGGCACCGTCATTGGCAGCACCGAACCTACGACAGTGGAGATGGCCGCGTTCTGGAACTCCTGCATGCTGCGTTATGCCGACACAAACGACTCTCTCACTGCGGGCCACCCGAGCGACATGCTGGGACCTCTCATCGCCATCGCAGGTGCACGCGAGATGAGCGGCCCTGTCTTGCTCAAAGGCATCGCTGTTGCATACGAAGTCTTCCATCTCCTGATGCTGCACCATAGGGGCTACCACAAGCATAAGGGGGCGCTAGTCGACAACCTGTCGTTCGACCAGGGGTTCTTCATGGCCACAGGAGCGGCGGCTGGCATCGCCTGTATGCTGAAATACGACCACACCCGTACCAAGACAGCCGTATCTCTGGCTGCTTGTAATGGGTTGCCGCTTCGAGCAGGTCGCGCTGGCGAGCTCTCAAACTACAAAGGCGTTGCCACCGCCGTAAGCTCTCGCGCTGCCGTTTTCTCCTGCCAGCTCGCAGAGGCTGGCCTCACCGGTCCATCTCATCCCTTTGAAGGCCGGCATGGATACATTGAGATTATGGAAGGAAAGGCTGGACCGATGAAACTTCAGCCCTTTGGCACATGGGCCGTGAAGCGGACCAACTTCAAATACTTTCCCTCCACAGCCAACACACAGATCGCAATCTGGTGTGCAAAAGAGTTGCGCGAAGAACTGGATGTGTCCCAAGTCCGTGAGATTATGCTGCATACTTCTCGCTTTCTGTGGCATGAGTCTGGCAGCGAGCCGGCTAAATGGGCACCCATGACGCACGAGACCGCGGACCACAGCCTCCCTTACACATTCACGATGGGGCTACTGGACGGAAACGTGAACCTGGAGACATACAGTGACGAGATGTTGGCTAGCGACAGATGGCGCACGTTGATCAAGAAGATCAAGGTCCAAGTCGACGATAAATTTGAAACGGAGTGGCCTGAAGTCATCCAGATACGGGCGACGGTAACAATGGCTGATGGAAGCACGAAAGAGCACTACTCACGCGACCCCAAAGGCCACTGGCTCAACCCTTTCAGCCGCGAGGACATCAGAGCCAAGTTCAAGAATTTGGCATACCCCATTCTCGGCTCAAGTACGGACAGTATATTCGACCATGCTGAAACTATCGCAGAGAGCAAGAATTGCAAAACCTTTTTTGAGGTATTTGCTACGAAGAGTACTCGAGTCCCTACAGTATGAGGAGTAGTTTCCTCTGCAGCACGCTAAGAACAACGAGTGAGAATACAGATAGTGCAAGTATCAACGCTGAAGTAAGATTCCCTGCATCGGCCGCCCATTATACCTGTCGTCACCTGTAAGGTTAACATGAAAATGGATCAACAGGACCGGAAAAGCAGCGAACGGAACTATCGTGACCTTTGTATACGGCTTGCTACCTTCGGCAGTAGTAATGAAAAGTCTAGGCGACTCTCCCCTGCCGAGTGCATGTAATATTCCCTTTTCTCAACACCAGCACAAACAAGCCCAGCGGTAGTAGCAATGGTGTTATCTGGCATCGTTGAAAGTCATCGCAAGTAGCACAGAGATTGTGTTAGATTGATTCTGCCAAACACTACTTAGAGACATTCATTTCGCCAAAGTTCTCAAGCGCGTGGGCGTGTTCTAGCTCTGCTGTACAGAATAGCACGGGGGGATAAAACGCCCCGCGGCTTACCCTTCTTGGGGCGTCCTCCAAGGTATCGCCACCCTGTGCTGTGATCCCGTAGCACCCGAGCCAGAGTGCTCCAGGGTGGTTTGACTAAAAAGGTTTCGTCGCTATCAACACCCAGTTGAAGCAGCTCCGCCCATCGGCTCCAGCAAAACGAGCCTTTGAAATAGAATTTGGGATCCCTCGTACTTCGTAGTGCCGGCCGCAAGGTAGAAGATTCGTACAATTTCACCGGCCTCGACTGTCAGTCGTCTGGATCGTTTCGCATTAATATTTCACATATCGCACTGCGATCGAGGGTCATAAAGTTTAATCGTGATGCAACTGCAAGCAAGCAGATACAGATTCATGCCAACAAAAAAGGGCACTTGTGGGTTCCGCCCCCGCACGGCATGTGTCAGAAAGTCCCCCATGCTGTCTCAAATAAGAGTAGTTGTTTTCCGGGTTTGCGAGCGACCTGTTCCTTCTTGTAACCTCATCTTCAGTTTCTGTTGTGGCGTGTCTCCGTCATCCGGACTCATTTCACTAGCTACACCGCGACCTCAATGTTGCCCATGACGAATTGTGGCGACAGACCCAGGCAGGCATCCAACGTGCTAGGCCGAAATAGGGCGTGCAATGCCTGTCGCCAGCACAAAGTATGTCCAGTTTAAATGATGAGTGGAGGTGACATCTAAGCGACTGACACTGCATGTACTTTACAGCTCCGCTGCGATGGTCGTGACGAAAATGGCGGATCCTGCTCTAGATGTCGCAAGATGCATCGAAAATGCGTCATTACACCGAACCTCCAGCGCCGTAACCGTCAAACGTATGTCCATTTCACATCCATTCGGCGTCCTCAAGATTGGACCTTTAAAGCGCACTAACGCCCTGCTACTACAGTAAAGCTGAGTTGGAGCTGGAAATAAGTAGGCTTCGTGAGCAGGTCACGTCGTTGCCCCAAAATGTCCCGCCGGTTGAGTGTGCCGCCACCTCTACTGCGTTTGTAGATAGACAGTCCAGCGTCATCTCAACAGACTCTAACCAAGATCTCGTAGCGGGCCAAGAGCCCGCCACCATCGAAACAGAAACAGTCTGTGCGAACATGGTCGCCCCTGGAATCTTCCATCAAGAAGCCGGTCATAACTCCATGGCAGAAGCTGGCGGGCTAAAGCAGTTGAGCCAGATCGGCCGTTCAAATGCGACATACGTCACACACACCAGCACTTGTTATACTTCCAAAGGAAAGGAACCTTCTTATCAAGATACAGATGCAAGTTCAAGCACAAGTAAATACGTCCCGCGAACGATAGCGGGTAGGGAGTTCAGTGCCAGTAAACTTGCGGGCTGTATCTCTTGGTAAGTTTTTCACTCACACGGGACTTGCATCAATTATGTCCTTTCCTCACATAAGTAACAGCTTTTTCTCATCCTACGCGCAAAACGTTCCCGGCTTAGTTGATACGCTTAATGACCCAATGCACCTCTTCATCTACTCCGAGTTTCTCTTTTGGACCATCGTCTACATCGGTTCCAGAAAATTCACCAAAGACCCGACCATCGTTGAGTTTCTCGCCAAACCCCTGGGGATCCTCGCACAGCAGTGTTTATTTGAGCCTGATCAAGCCATTCCCAGTATCCAAGCTGCCATTCTTATCTGTCTCTGGCCCTTGCCGGACGACACCAACTGTGCGCTCCGTTCGCATGCCATGGCTGGAGCTGCCATGCAACTGGCACTGCAGAAGGGCCTGCCATTTGCCTCAAGAAAGCAGGACTTCTTTCGAATTTCTCTAGGGCAGTCTGAAAAGGATGAGACATTTCGTGCCAGGCTCTGGGCCTATTGCGTCATGGTATTCCAGGGGTAGGAACACTTTGTCACTGCCATGTACCGTCTAACAGCCAAAACAGTGGTAATATTTATGACGGATTTCTCTGCACGATGGGCGTGGATACAATCCATCTCGATCGAAATCTGTCGGTTTTTAGTGACTTTTCTCCGCTAGTCGCATACCAGTATCAGCTCCATCACATTCACGTTGAGGCTATCACTGCTATACTCAACGTCATGGACCCTGTTACCAACAAACATGATCATCTCCTTAACTCATTGGTTAATCAATTCGATAACGAAGCTCAACGCGTTGTCTGCGAGCCCGAGGACAATTTGAGTAGGTACGCCCACAACCCGCGTCGCCGCCTGCGATTGCTAATAACATGAACGCAGCCTGCCATGCTCTGGCCAGTGTCCGACTACTCATACGAGCATTTCACTTTTTCAGTGCGCCAAATTCACAGCGCAATTCGGGCATCCTGCAAGCGTACTTCATCGCGTGCGAAGTCATCAAGATCGCGTCTCAACTGGATCACAGCAGCGACTTTGGCCTATACTGTACCAGCATGCAATACCGGGTACTGGCTCTGTCGGCTGTCATAATTCTTCGCGTCCTTCGAAGCAGCCTCGGTGCACAGGTTGATGCAGACGCGGGAGAAAGCATAGTATTTGAGGCAATTCGTCTCGCCAGGCGACGCAGCATCCGAAACGACGATCTCGAAGCTCGGAATGCGTTAAGACTGACGCAGCTATGGTCGTCTGACCGAGCTTTTTTGTACAGGGACGGTACGCGCGATGGCCTGCGGCTTCTACTCCATGCCCGTTTAGTGAGTTTACGAAGTCATTAAGGTGGTCCGAGCTATATCGCTAATTATCCCGTATCAGAGTATGAGTGTCTACTTCGATCTGCATTGGTGATGGAATGCGGAATTTGGAGGTAAGTCTAACCCATATCTCGAGCCAAAAGACGGGCAGCAACCATTGGATCCAGCAGATACATCAACAGCAAATGCCGTGGCTATCCAAAATGTCATTGAGGGCCGGGAAACCATGGGTCTGACGGGTTCAGAGTCGCTCGAAAACGCGACTTTCTTCGGAGACTTACCGGACTGGAACTGGGAAGAGCTTCAAGATGGACTATTACATTCGTTGACAATGGCTATATAGTTAGTAAAGCTATTACTTTATCAGTTAAATTAGTCACCCAGATCGTCAAAGTTTATGCTTGCGCCCCGGTCAACGAAGGGTTTGCTCGCTATCTGACCTCGTAGGTGGTGATGACACCTTGGAGCCTGCAGACTTGAGAAGTAGCGCAGTATTGATGATGCGATAACTCGCGCTGCGTTTGCCCTAAAAAAGTCCAATTGTTTCATAGGTAACTACACAAACATTGTCGTACGCTATTGATAGAAAGCCTGAAACCTTTTAGCAGCCGGCGATCAGCATTGAGAAGTGAGGCTGAGATTGCAGATCTTCGTATGCTTAACGAAGCAACGAATCACGAAGTAGGTGGTTTCATTATAGAGAAGCGTAGCGAATACCTGTGATCGAGGAGTGGACTGCACCGGTTAAGGCGGGCCAAGGCAAAGTATTTACATAAAATAAGGCGCACACCTGGAAGCCGATTTTGTCTAGAAGGCATCGCACTATTTAAAACGGTCTATCTTCAACACCACATCTCGGTTCTCTCTGATCAGAGAATATCAGCTGTTACGTCTACAAATATGTGTTCCAATTTGCTCTTATTTTCCCTTCCCATCATCCTATCAAGTGTTAGTGCTGCCTTGAACATTCCTGCGGTGGCCGAGTTGCACACCACCAGGCATTCAACCAACAGCACACTGCGGAATTTCACCGCTAAGCTCCAGGCCAATGCATACGGTACGACCTTCGCCGTTAACGTGACGTTGGGTGGAGGTCAAACATTCCCCTTGTTGGTAGATACTGGCAGTTCAGACCTCTGGGTTGTGCAGAATGACTGGATATGTGTCAACGACACCAGTAATGCCATCCTACCCCGAGAGGATTGTGGACTGGGTCCAGAAATGTATCACCCAGATTCGACATTCCAAGAGGTTCCAGACGAATTTTATGGAGAGATTATGGGTAACGGCCGTCAGAGCGGAATTCTCGGGAAAGAAGACGTGACCATTGGTGGTGCCACAGTCAAAGGCCAGACCATTGGCGTCGCTAACGTGTCATCTAATCCTCTTGATGGAACTGCTAGCGGCATTTTCGGATTGGCATATCCCGTCTGGACTTCTGCACATCCTGGATCTGTCCTGAACCAGTCAAACAACACTTACGATTATGACCGAGTGATATACAGCCCATTCTTTAACAGCCTATATGAAGAGGGACAATGCGAGCCTTACTTCAGTTTGGCTTTGGAAAGGATACCACTGGGGGATGCTTCCGGGCCAGGTGGTTATCTCACCTTCGGCAGCCTTCCTCCTGTGCGACACTCCGCGAACTTCTCCGTTGCCCCGGTCCAAAATACTCCTCTTCCCGTCAACATCACCAACAACAAGGCCCAGCCCTCATGGTGGTCTGTCAACATTGACAGTGTTGTGTACGGTCCCGGGGATGACTCTTCCGACAACCTCACCACAAACTCGACTCAATTCTTGGCCGTGGTCGACTCAGGTAACTGGTTTAACTTCCTTCCGAACAACCTTGCCGACCTGATCAACAGCCGCTTTTCACCTCCGGCCGTGCTGGACCCAACAAGCTACCCACCAACATATAAAGTTGCCTGCAACGCGAGCGCTCCGACCCTTGGGTTCAGCATTGGGAACCAGACATTCTTCCACGATGGACGGGATCTGATCCTCGACATGGGTGGCGACAGCTGCGTCTCCTCCCTGATCTCGTTCGCGGGCGTGTCTTACGAAGGCGTTCAACTGCACGGCGGTATTGTCGGAGCGTCTTTTTTGAAAAATGTCGTTGCGGTGTTTGACTTTGGAAAAACCGAGATGAGGTTCGCGGCACGGACGAATAGCACTGGCATTTCTGGTGGCAATTCATCGACATCAACGACAACGACTCCGTCATCCACTTCTTCTGCTCCCGGTAATCTTCTTACGTGGAGCACGAAAGGTTTAATGTTGATGGTGGCAATGGTGTTTGCATTTACGATTACTGGCTCGGTATAAAGCTGCCCGACCATGTTTTCGGCCGAATATTTGGTGGGCTCTGTACTCCGTAGCTGCCAGAGTTGAGCTGTTCTTGCGATCTGTAAATAAATGTATACATTTTATGACGATTTTACTAGATCACGATTGACTACAGATGTGTTGGTTAAGAACTTTACAGCTTACAAGGGCAATTCCTAAGCTTACCTCTTGTGCTAGGAGACTCCACCGATAACCTGCCAGCTACATGGAGGCCAAACAGCAGGTTTCTTAGGAGATACATTAGAGCGTCTAGATTCCTAGTTAGTGGCCGTTAGCAAGAAATGCGAAGCCGGAAGACTATTTCAGTTCAGAAACTTCAAGTGGAATGGGAAGAGTAAGGGAGATGCGTTATTACAAGTTCAATTTGAGGCCATTTAACAAGGCAACAAGGTCACCATTGAATTCGCTCCTCAATTATCTCCAGTCTGGCATCTGGTCGTGGCCTGCGGGTGAACACAAGAGTAGCATGTCTGTCCATGTTGGATGGTTTCTGGAGCCAGGTGTCCTTCACTCGGCTCCCCTCAACGACATCTCTACAGCTATATACGTAGCCACTTTTCTCTTCGATGGAAATGATCCTAGATACGACCTTCGCCGCCGAATCACTGTCCCAGACGCCCTCTCTCCTTCGGCAAGATGTCAGAAGTACTAATGCCCGACGTCGGAGAATAGGGTCACGGCATTTGGTTCCAGTCAGATATAGACCAGGTAAGATGCCGAGTTCGTGCGAATAGCTGAGCTCACCGTCATCTCCTGGCGCTGGTGCTAGAGCAAAAGCATATTCTACAATCTTCGCGAACTCGTCACGAAGGTTGTCATACAGGGTTTCTTCCGCCCCTCGAGGCACAGTCAACAGGATGTATCCGGTCAGGTAAAGGATTCGGAGGCACATAATTCCATTCCTCTCTTTTGGTTCTGAGGAATTGTGCTTCTGTAGACGCCATGTCTCCATTGCGTCCCACCACCGGGAGAGACTCTGCCCGATACTATTTCGAGAAATATCGCTATCTGCGGCTTGATGATTCGCGTCTTTCTCTCTGCCTCTCTTGTAGTCCATCACTTGCAAAAGTAGCGCAGTAAGACGTCCTCTTGCTTCTTCAAGACTTGATATGGAGACTTCTGAGCGGATACGGGAAATAAGATCAGGCTCCATCATCGAGATAGTCCATGCGGGATGAAAGCTGGAGGCTTGAAGATCAAGGCGTGAAAAATGTACGAGAAGGAGATCTTCAATTTCATCATCGTTGTGGGAACGCTGGGGTCTTGCAGTCTTTGGCAGGTAATTTCGCTGGATGATGCCACTTGACTCGCGGAGCAGTCTAATGCCGCTAGAGACGTGCTTGAAAGATGTATTGTAGTCTCCATACAGTGCTTCAAACGAGCTGAGCACATAACATGCAACCAGGACAACGGACTTTGCCAACGGGTTCATCGGGCGCAAGAGGTGGTGAATGGCTTTGTTATAATGGTGAAATACCGAAGGGTCTGGATTGGGAGGCCTTCCGTTCACATACCACCGATGCAAACTGCCAAGTGCAACCGTGGCGTGAAAGATACTCGGCTCGAGCACGGAGAGCTGAAGAACATAGCGTTCCCATAACTCGGACCTAAAGTAGCCAGACAGGTTGGCAATGGTACGAATTTGGAAGAACTGGAGGGCATTTGAATCCCAGTGCTGAGGAGGTGCCCACGTGGGATAAAGGTTGCCTAGGGGGGACAGGCATCGGAGATAACTATGGTCGTGTGGTTGTATAATTGAGGCTCTCCCTATGTTCTCGTCATAACCGTCGCATTGGCGTCCCGTGGAACGACATTTCACACAGGCGGGCTTCTGTTCGTCACATTTGATCCGGCGAATTCTGGAACGTTCGTCAGCGTTGCTCGTTGGCTTTATGTTCTGTTTACGGGGTTGTTTCAGTCTCGTACTTGCAAGTTTTGCAACCGGTCCTAACTTTCGGCTTAAACGCCCTTGGTCGTGTTCTCCACGTATCATTATTCGGATTGCAGCTCATGATAGTTGCTGCTCCTTACAGGGTTCGTCATGGATGATGTTCAACCTATAAGCAAGACCGTCACCAGTAACATTATTACTGTGTCAAATTAGGAAGTGCACGTGCTCAGTGGAGTCAGCGTCTGCGAGAGCTTGAAATCAGGTTGCATTTTACAGTTCCATGACCCGTCACCCGACGGCTTTAGCATCTCCCAGTTGGTCCGCTCGTACAGCCACGAATCGTTTAAGCCACATGCAGAGTAGCTAATTCCACACCAAGTGGACCCCTCATAGCTTCGTGGAGGGTGCCTAGATGGCTATGGCGGCGTAAGATCCAGTTAGCATTTAGGAACTATAGGCCCGACAAGTTTGAAAAGAAAATTTAACTAAGTATGGTAGTGATTAGCCATGATTATTCCAACACTGAAAAGATGAGCCTTCCCTCTCCACTCAGCCATTAACGGATTCGTATGTGAAGACGAATAGCGTCGTTCATACGCTGGAAGGGTGTCGTGGGCCGTGGAGTGTTAACCCCAATCGTTGCCGATCATGGCTTCCCATTTCCGCATTTAGAATCAGTACGACTATGCTCTAACTCGAGTCCGCCATAGTTCCAATGGATAGGACGCAGGAGAACTATACTCAACAGGAATGATCGGAGGCGGTGTTGTTAGATTTCTGTCATCCTGTCAGGCCTTGCTGTACCGCAACCAAGAAGGGGAGGCCCCAAAGCTCTCGGAGACATAAGACACTCGAATCTTTCGTTGGCGCATCCTTTCTCCCAGACAATTTGTAAGAGCTGCGCTCCGAAAAAGAGTCCAGTCGCTTAAACGACATCAAGGAAATCTGGCCGCCAGCAAGTTTCGACACCACTAGGCTGATAGGTATCACCACAGATACCGTCCGCTTCAAATATCACAATGGAAGTCCTACGCCATCACACTTATGGCCGGGGATTAGTCTCAGTTACTGCCGCAGGGGCCTTGATCGCTGTGGTAAAAGGCATAATCTGGTGTATACTTGACTATAAAAGGTATCTGGCTCTTGGACCGGGTGGTCCTCCTTACAACATCTTTGGATGGGCTGTGATTACTTTCTTCATCCGCCCATTTACTTTGGGCAAAAAATACACTACATGGACTGGGGACTACCCAGCAGACGATGCCCACGAGGAACTCAAAGCTCTTTCACCGAGAAGTGGCAAACGGCCAGCTTGTGACGGCATTGGCCCACACAGACAACTATCTCAAAACGCACCTGAACATATGAAAGAGGTAGGTTGTGACCCATCTCAATAGCAGCCCTCCCAAAGCTTCTTAGTGTTATGTGTTCCTCTCTCTTCATGATTGATTCTATTGCAGGAGGTGCTTATGACAAATACAATATAGTCTATCCGAACTCTCTTCGCCAATGCCGCTACTCAGAACCCAACTTTCTTGGAAACCCGAACATCTGGATACGAACGCCGTAATAGTGCTTTGTACGCAACGAGGGATTTCCTGCATCGACAAAACCGAGCTCAGGGTGAGTCAAGGCTGCCAGAGGCGGTGTTCCTTGCTCGCGGGGAAATCGGACATGCGCATGAGGATACGTCTAGCCACCTTTACGTTTCACGAGGTGATGCCCGCATACTCATCGAGAAGGGATGGGCTGAGCGACATCGACTGGCTGTCCCAAGACACTACTTGGTGAAAAACATTCTGGGTGTTGCAGACACTTACCTAATTATCTACGCACCCCGGGACGAGACCGAAATGGCTGCTTTAGAAGTAATGCTAAGGCGCAGTATCGCCTTTATGACAGGACAGGAGATCGATTCGATTGAGTGGAAATTTGTCGTGTAGTAAACGCCAGGTATCATTTTGCTGAATGATGCCCTGAATTGAACTAGAATTTTTCTGTTGACGAGAGGACAGTCAAGGATGCAGAAGTCACTCAGTAAATAGCGTGGATCTAGAGCATTCACGTTTTTCTGACTGCTAGCGAACTTATCTAAGCTGAGGTCTGCCATGGTAATCGCACGTATGCCCGGCTCTCCCATATGGGGATTTATGGGTGAACTAAGCCTGTCTCTCGTGTCCGTAACTATAATTTCTCACTTGATTTTAGAGCTTTTGGCCTTCAAATGCATTTTAATGGGCTCTATTCAAATTGGCTTGGTGGCGTCGCCGCGTTATTGTTGCGTTGCCCTTCATCCTAAAGTGCACTGAGCCAGAAGTCTCGTTCCTCCAGATTTGGCAAGTTTTCCCCCTTAGGCTAGTGCGGGTGACCCTGCTGCACTCCATACACCCCGTTGTCACGAGTTTACACCTTTTGGGTTTCTTCTAGCACGTGTTCTCTTCCTGGTGTTATAGTGTATCTATTAACAGGCATAATTCTGGTTTAGACTGGTCGCCTAGAATGATATGGACTAACCATGAGACCGCCATGTTAATTTTTCATTTTTCTTAGTTTTGATAGGCACCTGAACATCATCATGGTTCGTGATGGTCACCGACATGTACTGGATCGTGAGGTGAGATCGTTAATGGTAGGATATTAATCGCGGCAAAGATTTTGTTCACTATGTCTTACTTTCTCAAGCCAACTTTTCACACATCCAGAATACTCCTAAGGTGTTTAGCTAGTGATAATAAGACACGCACAATAATGGCACCACTAATTAAGGTTAGTATACTTATATATAAGGAATAAATTATTAATACTATTAGTCTCACCTAATTTACTAAATTTATTAAGTAAAACTTTAGTAAAAAGCTTACTTACCTAACTCTATTACGCTATAAATAGGTAATCTATCCACATATAAAGTAGGTCTTAATATAGAGAGTAAGTAATCTATTTATAAGGTAATCTATTCACACATAAAATTTAAGCTTTCTTGTTACGTTTCGCTCCACATAGGGTGTCACAAGACATATAGTCTTAATAGGTAGGAAGTATAAGAGGCAAGGTCACTAAGAGCGCAGTACTTAAGCGAGTACAAGAGCGAAGTGATCACAACCAAAACATATAGGTATAATTATGAACTAAGTTAACTACGTGATAAAGCTATATAATAATTATTATTTATTTATACCTTCGCGCTTAGTGATACTCAGTACTACTTAGTGTTACTTAGCCTAATCACTATTAATTATAACTAAGTATAGTTAATCACCCTTAGTCACGTGATAACTCTTAACTTTAGTTATCTTAAGTTTCTCTTAGTATTTCTACCTTATAGAGTTAATAGCTATAATTATAGCTTTATCTATAGTCTATAGACTAGATTTATTTATAACACTTTTCCCCTTCTTCCTTATACGTTATTTATAACGTATATAAGGTAGGTATTTTTCCTTAGGCGCGTCTTTTATTTCTTTCTTTTCTCTATAGCTAATAATGCCTTAGTTCTAAGTCTTAAAGGTTAACTATTCTTTTATCTTTTATTATTATATTACTATTTTCTATATTAAGACCCTTAGTCACTAAAAAATTAGTATAAATTATTATATTTCTTATTAGAATTTAAACTCTTTATGTTTTATATTAAATAATTATTTAAAATATTTATTCTATACTAAGAAAAGTGTGAAAAAATGTGATAGAATATTTTTCGCGGAGAAATTTAATGCGCTAATTATATAGTGTAATTATTTAGTTAAAGTTACTCACTAAAAAGATAAGAATATTTAAAGAATATTAGTAGAGATTATATATATATAGCTTATTCTTTCTAAGATTAACACTAAATAGAAATGATTATAGTGAGAGACTAATAACTTATTAAATAAGTAAAAAAAAATGTTAGTTTAGAAGCTAAAATCCTTAAATAAGCTAAATTATATAGATTTTCCCCTAATTACCTTATTTATAGTGCTTATAGAGCTAAATAATACTTAACTAAAGTAAATATTTAAGTTAAAGCCTAGGTTTATATCTTTTTTTCTAGGTTCTATCTTAATTAACTATTCCTTATAATTATTAAACACTATTAGTAAGTTATCTCTTTCTCTTTTAATTATATTACTAAAGTATATTTTTTAAAAGGTATTTTATAGGTTTCTAGGTGTTTTCTTCTAATTTATATTTTAATTACTTAATAAGGTAGTATATTTTTCCTTTAATTCTAAAGTGATCTAAGATTCTTTTAATATTATATAATAATTATTATATTTCTTTATATATTAGTATTAACTTTAGTTTAGTGTTTAGTAATACCTTTTTAAGAAGTAATTTATAAAATACTAAGTAAATATTTATTTCTTTAAATAGTTTTAACTTAAATATTATTAGTTTAAGTTTTTTTTAATTTTATAAGGTTTAATCTTAATATAATTTAGTTTATTAAATAGTCTTTATATTTTAATATTTTTTTTAAAAAGGTATATTATCTTCTCTTTTATAAAGTTTAGTCTTTTAGATCTTCACTTATTTATATTTTTAACTATTTTTTCTAATATTTTCTTAAGTTTTTACTTTAATAGTTTATATAGTGATTATAACTTTTTAACTAAGATTACTACTTTTTTTATAATTAGTTTAATATCTCTTATGTCTTTCTTAATTTATAAATAGTATCTATAGTTTATATAGAATAGTAATATTTCTATAGCTAAAGTACTATTATTATAAGTGAACTATATAATAAGTAGTAATAATATCTAGTTATTTTATTAAAAATTAATATAATATTATAAATACTATTTTAGTGTTTAGTTTATTCTTTTTATTTATTTATTACTTTATAAATAGAACACTATTAATAACTTTTAATAAATTTCTATAAGATTTATTAATAATTACTAAAATTATAATATAAATAGTTTATCTTAATTTAAGCGTATTTCTAATAGTATCTTATACTAACTAATAATATTTTTATAAAGAGTATAAATTAACTCTTTTACTATTAATACTTTCTTATATAGAATAAAATATATATATTTTATTAGGATATTATTTATTACTAATATACTATTAAAGTTTATATCTATAAGGGATTCTTTAAACTTAGATAACTTAGTAATAAAGTTTAAT